GTCTTCAGTTCCTGGATAGGGTCCTTGAAGCACGAACAGTTTTCAATGTAGGCAAAATCCAGTTTATCTTGTTCTGTTGTGGCTTCGGCTTTAAGTATCAGTGCTAAAGATCTTCAGACAGATCCACAGTCCTGAAGAATTTTTCTTTTAAGAACTTTATGGCTTGGGTCTCATGTTGTCTCCTCCCGTGCAGGGTAACGCATGAAGGCCGAGCCCCATTCTAGTGACACATTCAGCAGGGCTGATAGCAGATAATGGCTTTATTCTTGTTCCAGAACCTTCAGCCTGCAAGTCTCTCCTCATACCTTATCACACTGAGGTGAATGTTTACGTCCCAGTCTTTTTTGTTGTTTTGGGCCATACCCACAGTGTGCAGGAGATACTTAGTCCTGGAGATACCGGACCCAGGTCGGCGATATGCAAGGCGGGTAAGTGCCTCCCCCTGCGCTCTCTCGGCCCCTGCTCCTCTGCCCTTGTAGGGCTGTTTGCTCTGCTAGATTCCTCCCGGTTCTGTGTGCATCTTAGATCCTGCTCATACTTGCCCAGACGCTTAAAGAACTCGGCGGGGGCAGGTACCACTGGTCTGTGACTACACACGTGGCACAGCCGCAGCTCAGAGATGTCCCTGAGCCCACGTGGGGACCGCAAGCCTGCAGTTCATGCAGCCACAGTGGGGCACCCACCGTAGCCTCATCTTACAAATTGGTTTCCAGCAAACCTCAGGTTTGGGGCACTTGTACACACATTAACATGAACAGAGGAAACTGGCGGACAAGGTGTGACTGAATGGGGTGGGGTTGGGAGGCATCAGAGAGCTTTGAATCCTGCCCCAGTCTGCCCTGGCCTGTGGGTGGAGGTCCCTGCTTCCTGCTGGCAAGCAGCATCCCAGGCCACCGCAGATGCCCAGGGTCCCTGATGGGATGAGCAGTGGGTGGAAGCAGAAAGAAGCCTCTGTATCCACCCTCAAACCCAGGATGGTGATCTCCATCTTGCAACCCCCTTCTCGCCAGGAGCCTGAAGGGCCACCCCTGAGTCTGACCTGCACTGTACTTGGCAAGGAAGCCCAGTACAAAATGTGGTGGGCATGGGGGTGTCTAGTCCTCAGGGACCTCACTCCTCTCCTTGAGAAAGAGTCTAAAGCCTCCAACAACAAAAGGTGCAGCACCCCCGTGGGAAAGGGCCCAGCGGCTCGAGTGCACACTGTTGCCAGGGCTGTGTGGGCCTCAGAACTGCCCATCAGATGCGAGAATGGGGAGTGCGGCCTCTCAGGCCCATGCTCTGGGATTGGTCCCTGGACATCTGGACACTTTCATAACCGGACAAGCTGACTGGTCACTTTCATGGAACATGCAGGGCCAAGACCAGCCTCTGAGTGTCAAGTGAGAGTCTGGGCCTGGTTAGAGACTCACTGAGGACCTGGGGCATTTCAGATTTCTGACATCAGGGGAGAAGTGCACAAGAACCCAAACCCCAAAAGGCACATGCACCCTCCTAGAATTGGGACCAGGGTACTGGAGACTCCGTACCATTGGGAAGTGGGTGAGGGAAACCACATCTCACAGTGATGGTATGAATGACAGAACATCTCGTCATCAGGGCATATAGGTGATGAGAACTGTCTCTCCTCACCGTGAGGGTTTGTAGGTGATAGGTATGAGTGACAGGAACTGCATCTCCTCACCATGTGGGTGTGTGATGAGAACCATATCTCCTCACCGTGAGAATATGAGTGACAGGAACTGCATCTCCTCCTCATGAGGGTGTGACAAGGAACTGCACCTCCTCACCGTGAGGGTGTGAGTGACAGGAACTGCATCTCCTCATGTTGGGACTTATCTCCTGTGCCTTGCCTGGGGACTTGGTATTCCCATATGAATCTAGCATTTCTACTCTCTGTGGATGAGAACTGCTGATTTGCCACGTGTAGCCTATGCCCTGTGAGCCTGCACCTGGCAGTTCTGGGTAAAACCAGACTGTGGCATGTGCACAGCATGCCAGTTGGCATGAATGCCCCCCAGTTGCTGAGGCGTGCTCATGCACACAGTGAACCACCATCCCCACTGTTCAGCCCTAAGTCTATTACTTGGGTTCACGAATCCTGACACAAGACCACAAAAATGTCTCGCGCTGTTGGCTGTTTGTGAGGCACTTATCAAATGCCAGGTAAAGTAACCAAGGATGAGGGACCGGCCTGAGCTTGTGAGGAGGGTGGCAGGGTCCAAGGACAGGACTGGTATGACCAACCGGGCTCCTGAGGCCAAGCTGTACTTTCTTCCTGCTGTCACCTCAAGTCAGCCCCAGCTGACAAAACTGCAGGTTGCAGGGCCACTCGGGCCTTGGTCAAGTCCTCTTCTGGGGACCTGGAGAAGTCATTCTCGCCATTCGTGCCTGGGTTTCGTGAAGTGACAGGTTTAATATTTAAAGGGCTGACAGGCTCATTGCACTTAGAAATTAATAGCAATGCAGGTGTCTTCCCTCATGGCCCCTCAGCTGGCACTGCCGGCCCCTGGGCCACCCGGCCTCACCCCTTTGTGCTACGACTAAGGGCCAGTGAGTTTCCACGAGAAAGAGTGCAATGGGCCTGCGTGGGACGTGAGCGTCCGGTGGCCGAGAGCCGTTCCCCTGGCCGGGTGATGGCGACGAACAGACGAAGGATCAGGGGAACGGAGAAACAGGGCCCGGCCCCAGGCTGGCCGGTAGTGAGTTTATTTCTCTCTCCTCCCCAGCGGAGTCCAACCTCTCCCCTTATGGCGCAGTCATAGTCATCAATTTGGTTGTGGTCTCAGTCGTCAGAGTTCCATCATCCTAGTCTCCTCGTAGACCTCGACAATGACTCTACTCCCAGTCATCGTCGTCTTCGCGTCCTCTTTCTAGTTCCAGTCATCGACTTTCTAGTCTTTGACTTTCTAGTCCTCAAAGTCCCAAAATCCCCGTTCTCCTCCTCTAGTCTTCAACGTCTAGTCCCGACTTTCTAGTCCCCTGCTGCCCCTTACTGCACAGTTCTATAGAAATCATGAAGGGTGGGGTACACACAGGTGGGGTTGAACATTAGCAAACAGAGGTAAGTTAACTCAAGGACAGAATCTCACCTGAGGGTTCAGCACTCTGGATTACTAGGAGATCCGCTCAAGGGCGGGATTCCAGCCAGGGTGTGTTGCTTTCTCCTTTCTTCAGCTAGTAATCCATTTGACCAATGTAGTAAATTTACTTATAATATTTCTAGTCATTTTGTATGAACACAGTAAGAGATATAAAGTAAAGTAAAGGCCCTCCCGTTGATCATCGATTTGCTCGAGCGGGCCCAGTAACGTCTCCATTGGAGACTTTGTTGTTACTGTGTCTGGCATCTCGAATACGTCACAGGGAGCTTGCCAGGCTCTGCCGTGCTGGCGAGATACTCTCACTAGCTTGCCGGGCTCTCCGAGAGGGGCGGAGGAATCGAACTCGGGTCGGCCATGTTGGCTGCGTGCAAGGCAGACGCCCTACCCGCTGTGCTATATTAAGCTTAAAGGTTGGCTCTTCCTGGGCACATCTCGCTATATATTCCAGACCACAGTCTCAGGCCAGGTTAGTCTTTCCTGACCTCAGCAGGGTCCTTATTCAGTTACCTCTTTTTCGGACATGGCAGAGTTTGTCCAGGACCATACCTTATTAGTTAAATATTATGGCGCTTGGCCTGGCCCATTTCGATGCCTGGGTAGCTTACGGCTTTCCCTGGGTCCATCCAGTCCCTCGTTGGAACCCTGCTTTTGGGGTGCTAGGAACTAAGGTCAATTTAAGGGCAACTGAGGCTTAAGTTAAATCAATATGGATGCCCAGGAGTAAACATTATTTTGGAATCAAGTAATTCCTGTGTTACATAGCATAGCATAACTGTCTTCCTGTGTCTATACAAAAAGGACATTGCTAATTAAACTATACAAAGGACATAAGAGAAAAGCAACATAGGATTGTTAGTGCCTGACGGAATTGGGTGTGCCTCGGGGGCACTGTTGTGGGAGTAACTCAATAAACTACGCTCCCTGCTGGATAACAACCCAATGCTACCCAACAAGGGGCAAGGTGGGACTTTGTTTCAAGCCTCCCCTGGTGTGTGGGAGTGCCTGCAGGGGGCTGCACCCACAGGCGGCTTCTAGGGCTCAGGGACCCCCTTTCCCACGTCCTCTGCCTTCCTTGGGGCCTGGTGGGTGATCCCTGGCGGAGCCTGCAGTGTGACGCAGAGAAAGGAGCTCTGGGTCCTGGCAGAGCTGCACCCAGGCATGTGGCACTGCCCAGGGCACCAGCTGAGAGCTGGGCTACAGCCCACAGCAGGGCACCAGGCCAGAGCAGCCCTGCCACACGCCCCCTGGAAGGGCGGGAGGCCGCTGTGGCCGCCTGCGGTGTCCCTGGCCGGAAGGGAGGTGCTTCCCTCGTGGGGTAGGTCTCCCTTCCTCACCGTGATCCTTGTTCCCCAGGGCCGCCAACCCAGATGTTCCCCTGCCAACTTACTCTCCACGCCCTTATCCCCGGCGTCGCGTTTGGGAATCTCGTCTGGGTTCCTGGGCTGTGTGCGGGCTGGGGGCTCTAGGAGAGAGGCAGGCCAGGGCCCTGGGCAGGACGCCCCCTCCTGGGCACGCTGGCACTGGGGGGAAGCGTCTGGCCCAGGGCTGGGGCAGAGCAGGCCCCTGCCCCAGGTCTGCCCCGCTCGGGGCGCCCCCTGCTGTCCACACCTGGAGCTACGCAGGCCTTTGGTGGGGACAGCCCCTGTCTGGGCCGCGGGGAAGGCCTGGCACGTACCTGACCTTGGGGGGTCTGACTGGCCGGCTGAGCTGCCCACCTTGGTGCTCTCACGCCCTCTGCTGCCCACCGGCTCCGAGAACCTGCGAGAGCCACCGGGTCAGGGGGCGGCGGCTGCCGGCTCCAGTGGGGGGCTCGGGCCGAAGTGCTACCTGGGGGCCGGGGAGGGCGTCTGGGGGCCGCCGTCGTGGAGCAGGCGCAGCTCCAGCGGGCGGGCGGGCGGCGCTCGGTTCCGGAGCCCCCAGGCGTGCGGGCCCTCCCGGTGCCAGCGTCTGTCCGCTCCGTCCCTGGGGGCTGTGCGGGGCAGGGCAGGGGCAGCGGGGCTGGTCCGGCTCCCCCGCCCTCCCCCCGCCATCCAGTGCCCGCCCCGCCCCCGCCCCGGCGCGCTCACAGGTGATGATGTACAGGAACGCGGGCTCGCTGTGCAGCTGCTGGCCCTCCGCGCCCTGCACGGCCGTCACCGAGAGCTGGTAGTGGCGCCCGGGGGCCAGGTCGCGCACGGTGTAGGACAGCAGCCTCCCGTTGGGCACGTAGCGGCTCTTGGTGCTCTGGCTGGTGCTGACGTTGATGACATAGGCCTCCAGCGGGGTGCCCGGCACGGGGGCGTCCCAGACCACGTGGGCAGACGTGGCCGTGACCCGGGCAGCACTCAGGCTGGCTGGCGGCAGAGGCCCTGAGCAGAGGCGAAGAGACAGTGAGGGCGGGCGCCCGGCAGTCACTGCCCCCAGCCAGTCCCCGCCCCCAGGAGCGGGCCGGGCCGGGCCGGGCTGCAGCCCAGGGAGCACTTGGCTGATGCCCCCGGTCTTGGAACCAGGCAGCCCTGGACAGCAGCCCCGGGGGGCCAAGGTCCCTCAGCCCACAGCGGGGGGAGGGGGGTGGCATGCTGCCACCTGCGGCTGGGTGCCGTGACCATGGGGGGGTGGGGCAGCCCGCCGGGGTCTCTGGCCCCGGGCTCTCGCGGAGAGCTGAGAAAGGGACCCCACTCACGGGTCCAGACGTGCAGCGGGGCCGAGGCCAGGCTCTCGGTGGGGGGCTCCTGTCCCCCCTGCCCGCTGAGGGCCGCCACGTAGATGGTGTACCTCCTTCCTGGCAGCAGGGCCCTGTGGGGGCAGTGATGGCACCAGGCCGCAACCCACACCCCAGCGCCCGGCTGCGGGGACGGCGAGAAGCCACCGTGTCCCCAAGGCTGTGCCGGGCGGACGGGACTGGTCACAGGGCTGAGACAGCCTGACGCAGGACAGGGACAGGCCTGCCGGCGTCTCCCCAGCACCCCGCACCTCTGCAGCCGTGGTGTGGCTGTGCCCTGGGCCAGGCACCGGGGAGGGCTGGGGCCGGGCAGGGGTGAGGCAGGGCAGAGGGGGACACCTGCCTCACCCAAATGTGAACTTGTCCACACGCTGGTCCACATCGGCTGTCTGGACCTCCTGGGCCTCAGGGTGGCGCAGAGTCAGGCGGACGCCGCTGACCGTGGCGTGTCGGATCCGGTGCAGGGCCCACCGCACCGAGATGGCGTCGGCCGTCACGTTGATGACCTCGAGGCCTTCGACGGGGCGGGGTCCTGGGGGCAATGGGTCGATGCTGAGACTGGAGGTGGGGTCCAGGGCTGGTGGCCTGTGTTCCTCAGTGCCAGTGAGGACTTGGGGTGACCGGTGACACGTCCCAGACCCGCTGGGACCTGGGTGCCATGGGCACGAGCCGGGCCGAGTCTGGGGGGTGGCTGGGGCCATCACAGAGGCTCCCAGGAGGTGCCAGCACCCCCCCTCCCCTCCCCCACTGTGGGGGAGGACAGGCCCGTTGGGATCAGGGGATCTGCCACTGCGTCCTGCTGTGTCCCTCATCCCCACTGTCCACCACAGACCTGTCCTGAGCTCCTGGTCCTGCCCCCAGGTGGACCCGCTGTCCCCACGGCCTCCTCCCCTCAGCCCCTGGTTGGCCGCATCCTGGGAGCAGATCAGCCGGCGAAGCCCCCGAGCCCAGGGCCCCCCAGTGCCCTCCCCAGCCCCAGCTTCACCCTGGGAGGTCGGGGTCAGGGGTCAGGGCCAGGGACACTCACGTGTGCGGGCCAGCAGCACCACGGGCCGGCTGATGTCGTTCCTGTTGGCGTTGCGCTTGACGGAGAAGACGGAGATGTTGTAGGCCCTGCCGGCTGCCAGCGCCCGGAGCTGGTGCGACGAGCGGCCGCGCTCCACGAAGTCGGTGCGGCGGGGGGCGCCGTCGGAGGAGGCGTAGGAGACTGCGTAGCCGTCCAGCAGCTGCCGGGCAGCCTGGCCAGCGGGCGGGCGCCAGGAGACCGACAGGCCACTCTCCTCTGCCCGCTCCAGCTCCAGGCCCGTGGGCGGCGGCAGCTCTGAACATCAGGGACACTGAGCTCTGAGCCCGGCCTCTCTCCTCGCCACGCCCCTGCAGCATGGCCCAGCCCCTCACCCCACGCCACCCCTGCAGCATGGCCCAACCCCTCACCTCACCCCTGCAGCATGGCCCAGGCCCTCACCTCACCCCTGCAGCATGGCCCAGCCCCTCACCCCACGCCACCCCTGCAGCATGGCCCAGCCCCTCCTCTCCCCACATCCCTGCAACATGGCCCAACCCCTCACCTCACCCCTGCAGCATGGCCCAGGCCCTCACCCTACCACACCCCTGCAGCGTGGCCCAGCCCCTCCCCTCACCCCACCCCTGCAGCATGGCCCAGCCCCTCACTCCACGCCACCCCTGCAGCATGGCCCAGCCCCTCCCCTCCCCACACCCCTGCAACATGGCCCAACCCCTCACCTCACCCCTGCAGCATGGCCCAACCCCTCCCTTCACCAACCCCTGCAGCATGGTCCAGCCCCTCCCCTTGCCACACCCCTGCAGCATGGCCCAGCCCCTCCCCTCGCCCACCCCCCGCAGCATGGCCCAGCCCCTCCCCTCACCACACCCCTGCAGCATGGCCCAGCCCCTCCCCTCGCCACACCCCTGCAGCATGGCCCAGCCCCTCCCCTCGCCACACCCCTGCAGCATGGCCCAGCCCCTCCCCTCACCACACCCCTGCAGCATGGCCCAACCCCTCCCTTCCCCACACCCCTGCAGTATGGCCCAGCCCTTCCCCTCACCACACCCCTGCAGCATAGACCAGCCCCTCCCCTCACCACATCTCTGCAGGATTAGCCAAGATGCCACTCACCTTGTCCGCAGCCCTCACCAGTGTAGCCCGCCCTGCAGGCACAGCTGTGCGAGCCGTTGCTGGCCAGGCAGTAACCGCGGTCCCCACAGGGGCTGGAGAAGCAGGGGTCACCCACTGCCAGGAGGGGCCGGTGGAGGCAGTGATCACCGCCTGTGCAGGCCCAGCCAGCACCCCCTTTCCCGAGATGGGGGAGGTCAGGAGGAGCAGACACCCACCTGTCTCGCAGTGGTACCCGAAGAAGCCTTCCGGGCACACGCACAGGTAGGCCCCGGCTCCACCGTCCTCACAGCGGCCTCCGTGCTGGCAGGGGCTGCAGGCGCAGGCCGTCGCCTCTGGGCGGGGCAGGCAGGGGCTGAGGGACCCTCCCTCTTCCCTACGCCTCTCCTGCCCCCTGGGGCTTCCTCCCCATGCTCCTGGGGTTGACCGTTGGCCCTACCAATGTCGCAGCGGGCTCCAGAGAAGCCGGCAGGACACTCGCAGACGAAGGTGCCCAGGACATCCCTGCAGGAGCCTCCGTTTCTGCACGGCTGCGCCCGGCAGGCTCGGGCCTCTGCAGAGGAGACGGGTCTACATGGGGTCTGCAGGGGGCTTACAGAACACGGGGTCCACAGGGGGCCGGTACAGGGGTCTACACAGATCTTCACAGGCATGTGGGCTCTGCAGCGCCCACCCAGACCCTCCTGCCCATCTCTGCCCCTCACCCAGAGCCCCAGCTGGTGCCTGCTGGGTCCACTGAGGGTGTAAGCTCAGGCCCTCCCTCCAGCCAGAGCACGAGGCCAACTCTGGGGTGCCCCCGCACCCCTTTCTTGACTGCGGCCTGAGCTGCTGAGGGCTCAGGTTGGGGAGGGGGGTCGTGTCCTGAGGCGCTGCGGGCAGGACTCACCCCTCTCACAGCGGCGCCCCTCGCGCCCAGGGCGGCAGGCACACAGGAACCCTGCGGCCCGGTCCTGGCAGGTGCCGCCGTGCAGGCAGGGCTGGGATCGGCATTCGCTTACCTCTGCAGGACCAAGAACAAAGCCACGTTCGTCCTGCTCTGATTCCGGGCCTGGGGCTTCCCGGTGCCCGTGCCCCTGCACTGCCCATGTGCTGGCCAGCAGCCACCCAGCCCTCTGCATCTCTACTGCCTGTGATTCCTCCTGGCACAGCCCATTCTTTCTCCTGATGATTCGACTTGGGGGAGTCAAGTTTTACCGACTTTCAAAGGAACCTGTTCTTGGTCTCATTGATTTTATATGTCCCATTTCAAAAACTTGTTGCTGATGGTGAGAAACCAACGATTCTTGTTACAGTACTTCTGTTCTGGCAGTTTTCAGTGGCTGGCTGTGGACGGTGACCTCAGCGCCACAGACAGACACTCTCCGTTTGCCGTTTTTTTTTTTTTCTTTTTGGGTCACACCCTGCGATGCAATGCTCAGGGGTTACTCCTGGCTCTGCACTCAGGAATCACTCCTGGCGGTGCTTGGGGGACCATATGGGATGCTGGGAATCGAACCCGGGTTGGCCGTGTGCAAGGCAAACACCCTACCCGCTGTGCTGTTGCTCCAGCCCCCGAACGTATTTTCATGAATTTTGGTGCTGGGGCAGGAAGAGGGATTGCCACTGCAGGAATAGCCCCGCAGGTGGGCGAGACGCCGAACTCTGCCAGCCCGGTGCTCATGGGAGAAAAGTCCTCATTTCTTCAGGTTTTGTTGGCCTGGAGGCCACACCTGGCGGGGCCCAGGGGAGCCATATGGGGATGGGAACGCCGGGGATGGAGCCTGGGTCGGCTGCGCTCCAGGCCTGCACCCTGCCGGACTGAAGTCCTAGTTTCATGGGAAGGCCATGCGGTCCCCAGGGGGAGTGTGGAGCTTCCTTCTCGGGGGAGATCGGCTCCGGGGGTGCTGCTCTGGGCTCTCTCTGCCGCAGCTCCAGGTGATGCGGGAGGCACCGTGGGGTACCGGGGGTCGAGTGTCCAGGCTGTGGCCAGTACAGAATGACCCCCACCCACAACCTTGGTTGGGGGCTCTGTGGGAGCCTGGCTGGGCCCTGCAAAGCCCCAAGCCCAGCTGAGCACCACCTGATGAAGGCACCTTGGTCAGGGACGTGCCTGCGCGCCTCCCCTCCCCCCCGCCCCTCTCCAGACGCACCTGCCTGGCACCTGCGGCCAGTAAACCCTGCCGGGCAGTGGCAGGTGAAGTCTGAGCCCAGGTCCTCACAGGTAGCACCGTTCACACACGGGTCCCAGAAGCAGGGCGAGGGGACTGTGGGGGGCGGGGTCAGGGCAGCGTGTCTGTGGGGAGCCACCCCGATCCCCCCTCATCTGACCATGGGGAGCCCCACCTGGTGCCCTCCCACCCACCGGCATCCGTGGCCCGCTGCCCCGACTTCCCGCCCCCCCCATCCTGCCGGCTGCCCCTCACCGTGCTCGCAGTGTGGTCCCGAGAAGCCTGGCGCACAGTCGCACTTGTATTTGCCGATGTAGTGGAAGCAGGTCCCGCCGTTGTGGCAGGGGCCCGAGGCGCAGGGGTCCGGCTTCCCTGGGGGCACAGGGCAGGGACGGATGTGCAGGGCTGGGCCCACGGGGGTCCGGGAGCCGGCGCAGGGGTGTAGGTCAGTGACCCCTTCCTGGGAGCCCCCAACACCGAGATACTCCCCTGCTGCCCCAAGGACCCACCCTGCCTGCCCCCCAGCCCCACCCACCGATCTCGCAGCGGCGCCCGGTGAAGCGGAAGGGGCAGATGCAGTGGAAGTCTCCTCCTGCCTCCTTGCAGGTGCCCCCGTTGCGACACGGTCCGGAGCTGCACAGCCGAGGCCGGGCTGTGGGAGGGTCGGGGCTGAGGGGGCGGCCGGCTCTCGGGGCACGTGGGCCCGTCGGGCAGGGCCGTCCGCGTCCCCAAGCCTGGAGCAGTGTCCTGGGCTCGGGGTTTCGGGGCCAAGCAGATGCCCCGTGGTGGCCGAGTGGGCCCTGGGGCCCCGCGGGCGTCAGGTGAGAGCTGCCCCCGCCCTCGGCCCAGCGCCCACCTTTCTCGCAGTGCTGCCCGTGGAAGCCACGGGGACACTCGCACGTGTAGGCCTCGTCCTGGGCGTCACATGAGCCCCCGTTGAAGCAGGGGTCCGAGTCACAGGGCGAAGGCACAGCTGGGGGCGGAGGGTGACGCGGGGTCACGCAGAGTCCAGCCAGGGGCCCTCCGGGGCCCCAGCCCCTTGGACGTGCCCCAGGAGCCGCCAGCCGCCCCTCCTGCCCGGGCTGCGGGGGGCTAGGGGCGGCACTCACGGTGGCTGGCGCGGGGCTGGTCGCGGTGGCACACGCACAGGTGGCTGCCTGCGTGCTCCATGCAGTAGCCGCCGTCCGGGCACTGTGTGTTCATGTCACAGGGTGTGGATGTGACCTCTGCGGGGACGGTGGGAGCCAGTCAGCCGGAACCCCAGGGCGGCTCCTGGGGAGCCCGGCCCCCCTCTCACCCCCAACTCACCAAACTCACACAGGAGCCCGAAGAAGCCGGGCGGGCACTGGCATGGGGCGCCGTCATCCCCCAGGCACCGGCCCCCGTTGCGGCACTCACAGGCGCCCGGAGTCCCTGCCGCCAGGGAGAGGGGCAGTCCAGGGGCGCCCAGCCTGCACGAGACCTCCTCCCCACAGTGCTGCGTGTGCCCCACTCCCCCACAGTGCTCCCATCCCCCAGGCCCGTACCTTCCCACACCCACACCCAGCCAGACTCGACAGACACCCACGGATGCCCACGGACACCCACAGACACTCGCAGACGCCCATAGATGCCCACAGGCCTACAGACACCTATGAAGACCCACAGACCCACAGATACCCACAGACCTACAGTCACCTATAGACACCCACAGATGCCCACGGACACCCACAGACCTATAGACAGCCACAGACACCCATACACAGCCAAACTCTGACAGACACCCTCAGACCCACAGACCTACAGACGCCTATAGACAACCACAGACAGCCACGGACACCCACAGACACCCACAGACCCACTTATACCCACAGACACCTACAAACACCCACAGACACACCCATCCACCCACCCCCACCTTGAACCCCACTCACCCCTTCATGCACACACTCCACTGACATATATTCACTCGTTCACACTTGTGCTGTCTGATCTGCATGCCCCCCCCCACACGCAGCACAGCACACATGCAGTGGACACACACAGCATACCTGCACACACATGCACAGACAGAATCACAGGCTTGCAGTCTACACACACACACACACACACACTCACTCTCACTGCAGTTGTGGCCGGTGAAGCCTCCAGGACACTCGCACACGTAGCCAGTGTCCGCGTCCACGCACGTGCCACCGTTCTGGCACGGGGCAGCAAGGCAGGCGTCGGGCCCCGGGGAGCTTCCTGCAGGACAGACGGGTGTTGGCCGAGGCCTCTGGGACATGGACCCCCCCTGCCCCCTGCCGGATGCCCCCTCCCCTCTCGGAGTCTGTTATCTGCCCTGGTCTGTCCTGTCGGACACAGGGAGCAGGGGCCACCGTGAGACCCCTGCACCTACCAGAGGCCTTCGGGTGCGGGCTGGGCAGGAGACCTTGACTGGACAGCGAGGGCCCCAGGAGCCAGGAACCAGCCCGAGCAACACTCTCCACCCCTACCCACGCACCCCTGTCTTGTAGCCAGAGCCCCCAAGGCACAGCGAGGGCACTACACCAGCTCAGCCCCACAAAGTGCCTGCAGGGCCTGGAGCAGAGGAGGGGAGGGTTGCTGAGGGCAGTGGAGAGAGCTGACATGAGGGAGGGGAGGGATGAGAGAGAAGTGGAAGGGAGAGGTTTGGAGGGGAGAGGAGTGAAGAGGTGGGAAGAGGCGTGGGGGGAGGGGTTGGAGTGGCGCAGAGGGCAGGGCACCCCCATTCCACAGGCCCTGGCACGGAGCGGGGCGTGTGGGCTGCGCCCGCGTTACCTGCCTCACAGCGGGGGCCCTCGAAGGGCCGCGGGCACAGGCAGGAGAAGCCGGCCGGCAGATCCACACAGGAGCCCCCGTTCAGACAGGGCGCGGAGCTGCACTCGTCCACGTCTGCGGGCACAGGGTGGCCGCTGGACTCGGCTGCCCTGGGCACCGCTTCCTTCCGGCCCTCGCCCCACGGCCCCGTGCCCGAGAGGCCCCTCACCTGCCCCGAAGCCGCACCCCAGTAGCCCACCTGGCACACACACAGTGGCATCTCCCTGAGCCTGGCACCAGCCTCCATTCTGGCACCCGTGGGTGTCACAGGGAGACCACACCTCAGTGAAGGGGGAGCACCGGGCACGGGGGGCCCCAGGGAGCCACTGGGGGGCACCTGGCTGTGCCCTGGGGCTGCTGGGACAGGCCGTGGACAGGTCTGAGTCCCCCCCTGCTGCAGGGGCAGGGGGGCAGGGCATGGGCTGTGGGCTACGGGGCGGGGGTCCAGGAGAAACGAGGCCAGGAGATACAGGGCCTGGGGGTCAGTGGCCTGGCTGGGGGCCGAGGTGGGTGCAGAGGCGCTCAGTGCACCGGCCGGGTCCTGGGCCATCCCAGCACCTCCCAGCTCCAGTGACACCGCATGGGGCCAGGGGTCAGCTGGGAGGGGCACCCTGAGAGCACCTGGGCGGGAGCAGCTGGGCGTGGGGCGGGGGACTCCCGGCAGCCCACGCCGCCCGGCCTGTGTGGGGCGGGACCGGTGGCCTCTCACCTGCCTCACAGGTGGGGCCCCCGAAGCCGGCTGGGCACTGGCAGCGGAAGCTGTCGACGCCGTGGGAGCAGGTGCCGCCGTTGCGGCAGGGCTGGGAGGCGCATTCGTTCACGTCTGAAAGACAGACGGGCCCAGGCCTCGGTGGGGAGCCGGGCGGGGCCCCACCCCTGCGCCCCGCCCGGGCAGTCCCGCCCCCGGCGCTGCGCACCCAGGTGGCACCTCCGTCCCGCGAAGCCCGAGGGGCAGGAGCAGGCGAAGGAGGGGCTGCCGGGCACGCAGTCGTCGATGCACTCCCCGCCGTTGAGACACGGCCGCTGCGTCCGGCACACGGAGGCTGCGGCAGAGAGGCTGTCGGCACCCGCACCCCCCCCCCCCACAGCTGCCAACCCAACGCCCGGAGAAGCCCGGTCGGAGGGCCCCCGCCAGCAGGAAGAGCCCCCCAGGCCAGAGGACCCTCCACTCCCGTACGGCCCAGAACCGGGGAAGCCATCGGCCCACCAACACTCGGGCTAGTGAGCCTGGGCAGGGCACCTGGGCAGTGAGCGCCAGGCCTGAGTGGGAGACGCTGCTGTCAGAGCATGTATGATGCAAGAGTGTGTGCATACACGTGTGAGCATGTGTACAAGTGTGTGCTGTGAGCATAGATGTACGAGTGTGTTCATATGTGATCACGTGTTATGTAGAAGCTTGTGTGCACATACATAGGCATGCAGGCATGTGCAATTGTGCGTGTGTACACCGAGCGTGTACAAGTGTGTGCACGCATACATGTACACAAGCATGAATGCACGTGTATGTGAGCATTCATATACACATGTACGCATAAGTGTGAACGTGTGCATCGTGTAAGCATTTACAAGTGTATATTCATGAGTGACATGCATGTGTGTATGCAAGCATGCACCTATGTGCAAGTATGAGTATGCATGTTTATACATGCACATGTATGCATGTGTGTACAAGTGTAGCATGTATGTACATGTATGCATGCGTATGTACGTGTGCATGGCTGTACTTGTATCTATGTATGTGTGTCTGAACATGCACACGTTTGTGTGCATACAAGTATTCAAGTGCAGAGTGCACGCACATGAGTTGACGTGTACAAGTGTGTGTCTGCACGTGACTATGATGAGCATGCATGATATGACTGTGTTGGCATGAATGTGCACGTCTGCATAGGGTGTGGACATGTGGAGATGAGTATCTGAGCATGTAGGTGTGTGAATATATCGGTGTGTGTGTGTAAGTATGTGTGTGAGTGTGCATGATGTGCGTTTTTGAGTATATGAGTACATGTGAGTGTGTATGTGTACGAGTCTGGCTGTGTGTGTTAGAGTGTACTATGTGTGTATGCATTGTGTGTAAATATGTACGAGTGCATATGTGTACACATGTCAGTGTACACAAGTGAGCGTGTACATCTGTGAGCGTGCATATGTGTACCCATGTGTGTGAGTGTGGGCCTCCTGCTGGATGCCCCAACAGTCAAGCCCAGACCCAGGCCTTCCCAGACTCTCAGCATGCCTCTGTGCCCCCAGTCCTTTTTCCCTCTCCCTCGAGGGCTGGGCAGCTGCCCCCTCCAGCTGGCCTGCCTGGGCCCGTCCCCGCCCTGCAACTGCGGGTCCTCGGCGGAGGTGGGTGGGACAGGCCTGTGGAGCCCCCCCGCCCGGCGCCTGCAGGCGGCTGCTCAGAGGGGCCCCCCGCGAGCCTCTTACCCGCATGGCCGCAGCCCCCCACGTGGACCTGCGCGCCGTCAATGCGGAAGGCCCAGCGTCCGGGCATGCCCACGTTGGTGGTGGCCTCGACCTCGGCCATGTCGGCCGTGCGGGAGCCGGGGATGCTGAAGTAGCGCTGTCCGTCCCCCGCGTTGAAGCCGGCCTGGGGGCGAGACAGCCCGGCTGAGGTCACAGGGAGAGGGGCGGAGGTCGCGGGTGTGGAAGGCACCTCCGGCCTCACCTGGGCCGCGATGCCCCCCAGGCCCGTGGCGTTGCCCCCGCTGCTGGCGTGTGTGCCCGTGGTCCAGGTGACGGCCTCGTAGTTGAAGATGGTGAAGGAGGCGCTGCCGTCCGTGAGAAGCACCGTCTGGAACGTGTTGACCTGGAGCAGAGGGGCAGCCCCGACCCCTCTCTGACCTCTGACGCGGGGGCACAGGGTCTCTGATGGTCCAGCCCGGGGGCTGCATGGTGGGCAGTGGGGGCGAGGAAGAAGGAGGGGCCGGGATGGGCCATCGCAGCTGGGACGGGACCCAGAACCAGGAGGGCGGGCGCGGCGGGGCCCCACCTCGCAGCCTGGGAGACTCGGGGGAGATGCCGGCGTCTCCTCGGGGCCAGGCCGGGCACCCTCCCCCCAGGACCCCTGTGGGTGAGAGGGCCAGGGAGGTGCCCCGGGAGAGGAGGCGCCTTGGGGTCCCTGCGCTGCTCCTCTAGGCCGAGCTCACAGAGTTGGTGCGACTTGAGGACCCCAGCCCCACAGGCCGGCCTCTCCCACCAAGCCCACCCTCCCAGCCCCTCCAGGGTCCCGGCCTGGCCAGCTGTGGTGTGGTGGTCACTGCTCTCGGAGTTGCATGGCGGCCAGTGACCGTGGGCTCATTCCCGAAGGGTCAGCAGCCCCCCGGCCAGCTTCTCCAGACTCACCGGGGAAGAGGCGCTTCCTCCAAAGAAGGTCACGCGGTACCAGGTGGCCACGAAGGCCCAGGTGGCCGAGAAACCGGGCAGCTCGGGGAAGTAGCGCTGGACGTCGTCGCTGGCCCTGCGCAGCGTGCGGGCGTCCGTGTCCTCGCGGTAGAACACGTCGCCGGCACGCCGGTTGTCCACGTCGGCCCAGAAGGCCGCCACCACACAGCGGTCCTTGGCGATGGGGAAGGCGGCCGGGGTGAACTGCGACACCTCCTTCAGGAAGGAGATGACCCCATTATTGTTCACCTGCAGACAGAGAGCCGGGGTGGGCGGGGGCAGCAAGGGCTGGCCGTCCCCCCACGGAGCCTCGAGGAGGGCCCTGTTGGCCAAGACCTTCCGGGACAGTCGCCAGCTCCCGGCCTCTGAAGGGCACCCCATGGCCAGCGTGGGGGCCCCGGCATGTCCTTTCGCTAACACCAGGAAGGGCCCCAGCTCCTGGGCGGAGGGGATGCTTTGGGCTCCTGGACCTGCCCACTCTGCTGGGCAGCCCCCAGGCCTGGGGTCTCTGGGGTCCAGCCGAGGCACGGCCAGCGGGGACTGAGGTGCAATGAGTCAGGGGTGCAGACCTGGCCCTGGGCCCCATCTCGGTCCTGGGCCTGTTGTGGGAAGCACCGGCCCCTCCGGAGGATGAGAGGGGAGGGGCCGCATGTGGTGCACAGGTGGGGGGGAAGAGGCAGAGTCGGGGCTTGTGGTGACGAGTCTGGTGACCCCCACGGCCAGGGCGTGTCGGCTCGGGTGGGCACCCCCAGGCCCCTGACGGCAGGGTCACCTCCTGCATCCAGTCGCTCCTGCGACTCCAGGACGCAGGAATGACCACATGTCTGTGGGAAAGGGTGCGGGACGCCTGGGACGTGGAGACAAAGGTGGCGGGGTTGGGGGGGCGTGCAGCGGAGAGCAGGCGGAACCGGCACGAAGGCGAGTGGGCCCCACACAGCGCCACCCGCAGTGCACCCGGGGAGCCACGCGTGTTCTGCGCAGCTGCACTGTCCGGGTGCTTACACTGCCGGGGCTGTGCCGGGGCCAGCGTGCAGGGCTGGACAGAGCCTGACCTCGAGAGACAGCAGGCTCGGAAGTGAACCCTGCGGTGCCGGGAGTGGAATAAGCTCAGAGAGAGGCACGGCAGTCCCTGCTGTCTCTCCGCCCTGAAGCTTCTTACTAGCTAACAACAAGGCTAGTGTTTACAAATTTGAAAAGCCATAGAATGGCAGCTGGAGCGACAGCACAGCAGGGAGGGCGCTGGCCTCGCACGCGGCTGACCCAAGTTCAATCCCAGCATCCCATATGGTCCCCTGCGCGCCGCCAGGAATAATTCCTGAGTACAGAGCCAGGGCAACCCCTGTGCATCGCCGGGTGTGACTCAAAAATTAAAAAAAAAAGACACAGGTTGATTCATAACAAGAGGATATTTCAACACACCTCTCTACTGAAATACAGACAGGCAAAAACACGATTAATCAGAATATAGAAAATTTGATTCTGTTGAGACGGAAGCGGTCATTGAAGCCCTAGCCAATCAGGGCATTCAAGCCCAATACATCAGGATCCTCCGTGAGCTGTATTGCGGATTCACTACCAGGATCTCACCATTCTACAAAGAAGTGATCGTTGATGTCAAGAGAGGGGTTCGGCAGGGTGATGCCATTTCACCGAAACTCTTCAGTGCCACCCTCGAGAACATCATGCGACGACTGGAATGGGAAGGAATGGGAGTGAAGATAGATAGTCGGCAACTACACCACCTCCGCTTTGCTGATGACATTGTTTTAATAACACCAAACATCAGCCAAGTGGCACAAATGCTGGCCGACTTTGACTGTGAATGTGGAAACGTAGGACTACAGCTGAATCTTACGAAGACAATGTTTATGAGAAACAGCCTTGTTCCTGACGCCCCATTCGCTCTCAATGGAACGACCATCTCCGAATGCAACAGCTATGTGTACCTAGGTCGAGAGGTCAACATGACAAATGACCTGGCACCCGAGCTGCGCAGGAGGAAGAGAGCGGCTTGGAACGCCTTCAAGAACGTCGAAGAAATAGCTAAGAGGACGAAGAACCTCCGGCTCCAGGCACATCTCTTTGATTCCACTGTTCTTCCTGCATTAACATATGCCTCAGAGACCTGGGCCCTACGCAAACAAGATGAGAACGCTATTCAGGTCTCCCAAAGAAGAATAGAAAGAGCTATGCTTGGAATATCACGTTTCACTCAATTGAGAGAACGAATCCGGAGTTCCGACATCCGTCGACGATCAAGAATCAGGGACGCTGTCTCGTTTGCCAAGGCGTCAAAAATCAGATGGGCTGGTCACGTAATGAGATTTAAAGACGACCGCTGGACTAGAGCTGTTACCAACTGGATTCCACGGGACGTCAAAAGACTGCGTGGCCACCCACCTACCAGATGGTCAGACTTCTTCGTCAAGATCATGAACGATTGGTTTGAGGCTCTTCGTGTTCCCGGAGCAAACAGATGCCATTGGGCTACACTAGCACGCGACAGGGACAAATGGAGACGTTACTGGCGCCCGCTCGAGCAAATCAATGATTAACCGGAAGTCAAGTGATCAAGTGATAGAAAATTTAAATGATGCAAATAGGTGACCAAGTAGATAACAGAATCCTTCGTCCCACACTTTTTTTAACCATACACGGACCACAAAGCAACTATTAACAAATTCCAAATAGTTGTAAAAAAATCAACTGTGTTCTTTGTCCACAGATCAGTTGTACCAAAGATCAGAATGAAAAAACATTGAAAAGTGTCGTGTGTGGCGATCAAGAAATATGCCTGGGATAACTCCGAGCAGGTAGGAGCAAAGGGAACATGCGAGCAGATGTGAGCATGAGCCAGCTCGGGGCAGAGCTGTCGCCTGGCAGGCAGGGTAAGGCCGCACACTTCGCAGATAAACCTCCAAGTCAGTAAATAACCCAGATACAGCAAGTACCGGAACAACATGGGTAAAAATTTCCAAATACAAAGCAAGTGAGTACGCGAGAAAACAAACACTGAATCAAGAGAGTCAACAGAGCTGAAACTTGGTTGACAGACTGAAATCCTGGAGGAAGAGGAGAGTCCCTTGCTGCCGCTGAAGGCAGGCCTGGCAAACGTGGCCCGTACTCCGACGCTGCCGGAGAAGGCCGTCAGCAAGAAGATCTTACAAACGTCTTTATAATTTTCAGATCAACGAAAGCAAAGAAATGGAAAGACGACGAGAACGCTGCTGCTCGCCAAGAGTGGCTTCAGAGGCAGGGAGTGGGGAGGGGGACTCCCGAGGGACACAGAGCCCGTGGGGGTCCGAGGAGAGGCCGCCCTGCAGGTGGGGGCACTGCAAGTCCCACTGTCCCGCGACAGGGCAGGCTGGCCGGGGAGCACCGTGTCGAGGTGTTTGATAGTTGTGTCCATGAGGCCGGGAGCCCCCCAAGGGCCCACGCGAGGCCAGGGGCAGGACCCTGGGGAGAAGGACCTGAAACGGGCCCTAGTGGTCCCAACAACAGAGTCTTGAGGGACCGGAATGCTAGGGGGTGCCCTGGGCTGAGCCATGCAGTGGGACTTGCACCCAGGGCTCAGGCACGCCAACACCCTCCTCCTCTGCCCGCCCTTGGAGGGAAAAGCCAGGAGAGGCAGCAGGGGGCCGGGGAAGGGGGCGCTAGCAGGGGTGGGGGCCAAAGGGGCCAGATGAGGAGGGGTATGTGCACCCCTCAAGCACAATCCCAACCGACAGCGCACCAGAAGCCACCACACCCCAGAGCCATCTGCCAAGTCCGGGAGCCCCGGAGGGGCCGCGGGAAGGTCTCTGCCGGGGGCTGATGCCAGCAGCTGTCGGCTGCAGGGTGTGGGGGGGGGTTGGCCTCGCCCTGCTCGCTCCACACCAGATCCGCCTGTCCTCTGGGAACACCCCGAAAGGCTGCCCTGGTCACACCCGGGCGTCAGGTAGGGCAGGGGTGAGGGGCCCCGAGGGGTGCCGGCTGCAGCACATTCCTGGGCACAGGGTCCCACAGAAGAGGCGCCTCTGAGGGCAAGCGGTACCAGGCTCAGGGTTCTGGGAGGGGTGTGGTCAGGCTGCTGCGGGTGGGAGCCCCGGGCCCCGCCTCCCGGTCTCCGCACCCTCCACCCTTCCCACACTCCCCCCACTGCCCTTCCTGCCTTCGAGGCAGATCCAACCCCGAGGCACGGTGTGTGCGTGTGAACTTGAGTGGAGTGTGTGACGTGTGAGGTGTACGAGGTGTCTGAGGCATGAGTGAGACGTGTGCAGTCTCAAGGTGTGGAGTGTGTGAGATGAATGCAGAGTGTCTGACGTGAGACATATGGTGTGTGGAGCGTGTGTGGTATGTGGTACATGTGGGGTGTGTCTGGTGTGCAGTGAATGTGTACTGAATATGTGAGGTGGCGTGGTATATGCGGCATGAGGCCCGTCAGGGGTGGGAGGCATGTGTGGTGGGAGGAATGTATGTGTTGTGATGTGTGTGAGGTTTGTGTGAGGTGTGTGTTTTGAGGCTCGTGAGGTTATATGATGCGAGTTTAGTGTAATGCGTGTATAATGTGAGTATGTGTGGTTTGATCTGAGGTATGTGGTGTGAGGTGTGTGATATAAGGTATGAGGTGTGTGTAGCGTGAGGTGTGTGTTTTGTGTGGTCTTCAGTGTGTGAGGTAGGTGGTATGAGATGTATGAGGCATGCGATGTGATACATGTGAGTTGTGTGGTGCAAAGTGTGATATGAGGCCTGTGTGGAGTTTGTGGTATGTGAAGTATATGTGGTATCTGAGGTGTGTTGTGTGTGGTATGTATGAGTGTGTGGTGTGAGGTGTTTGAGGTTGAGGTGTGTATGGTACGAAGTGTGTAAATTGTGTGGGGTTTGTGAACAGTATGGTGTAATATGTGTGAGGTATGTGGGTAAGGTATATGCAGTGAGGTGTGTGTGATATGTTTGAGGTATATATGGTATGATTTTTGTGTGTGTAATATGTGTGCAGTGAGATGTGTAATTTGTGTGGCATGTAAGGTATGAGGTGTATATAGTATGAGGTATGTGTGGCTTGTGTTGTATTACATGTATGTGGAATAAGGGGTGATGTTTGTAGTGTGTGCAGTGTAAGGTGTGTGTGCTATGAGGTGTGTGATGACAGATGTGAGGTGTTTAGTATGAGATGTGTATGTTATGAGGTATGTGGTATGTAAGATGTGTATGATATGAAATCTGTGGTGTGTGGTATGAGGTATGTGTGATGTGAAATGTGTGGTGTGTATTATGTGTATGTGGTGTGAGGTAGGTGTGGTATGTGGTATGTGTGATGTGAAGTGTGAGAGGTGTATATATTAGGTGTGTATGGTGTGAGGTGTGTAGCATTATGTATGATATGAGGTCTGTGATGTATGTGATGTGAGGTGTGTGGTATGTAATCTAGGTGTGTGTGGTATGATGTATGATATGAGGTCTCTGGTGTGTGGTATTGGTGGTATGAAGTATGTGATGTAAGATATGTGTGGTATGAGGTGCATGGTGTGAGACTTGCAGTGTGAGGTATTGTATAATGTGAGGTGTGTGGTTTGTGTGGTATTTGATGTGTGTGGTGTGAGGTGTCAGGTTTGTAGTATGTAGTATGAGGTGTGTGTGGTAAGAGGTGTGGGGTTTACAGTGTGTGTGGTATGAGGTATATATGATGTGAAGTGCGTGTTGTATGGTATTAGAAGTGTGTGGTGTGAGATCTGTGTGGTGTGACATGTGTGGTACAAGGTTTGTGTGACATGACGTATATGCAATGTGAGGTGTGTGGTATGAGGTGTGTGTGTTATGTGAGGTGTATGGTGAATGGTCGTAGGTGTGTGGTGTGAGTTTTGCAGTGTGTGATGTGAAGTCTTAGATTTGTGTGATGTGAAGTGTGGTATGAGATATATGAGGTGTGAGGTGTGTGTGATGTGAGGTGTGAGGTGTGTGTGATATGTGTGGAGTGAGGCGTATGAAGTGAGGTGTGTGGTGTGAGGTGTGTGGTGTGATATGAGATGTCTGTGGTGTGAGGTGTGTGGTGTGAGGTGTGTGTGGTGTGATGTGAGGTTGTGATGTGAGGTGTGTGTGGTGAGGTATGTGGGGTGTGAGGTGTGTGGTGTGAGGTATGTGTAATGTGTGTATTGGTGTGTGTGATGTGAGGTGTGTGTGATGTGAGTTGTGTGTGATGTGAGGTGTGAGATGTGTGTGAGGTGTGTGGTGTGAGGTGTGTGGTGTGAGGTGTGTGTAATGTGAGGTGTGTGATGGTGTGATGTGACGTGTGTGTGGTGTGAGGTGTGTGTAATGTGTGTGTGAGGTGTGTGTGTGAGGTGTGTAGTGTAGGGTGTGTGGTGAGGTGTGTGTGATGTGAGGTGTGTGTGGTGTGAGGTGTGTGGTGAGGTGTGTGATGTGAGGTGTGTGTGGTGAGGTATGTGGGGTGTGTGGTATGAGTTGTGTGATGTGAGGTGTGTGTAATGTGTGTTGGTGTGTGTGATGTGAGGTGTGTGTGATGTGAGGTGTGTGTGATGTGAGTTGTGTGTGATGTGAGGTGTGAGATGTGTGTGATGTGTGTGGTGTGAGGTGTGTGGTGTGAGGCATGTGGTGTGAGGTGTGTGATGGTGTGATGTGACATGTGTGTGGTGTGTGTAATGTGTGTGTGAGGTGTGTGTGTGAGGTGTGTGGTGTGGGGTGTGTGGTGAGGTGTGTGTAATGTGAGGTGTGTGTGGTGTGAGGTGTGTGTGGTGTGAGGTGTGTGGTGAGGTGTGTGATGTGAGGTGTGTGTGGTGTGAGGTGTGTGTAATGTATGTGTGAGGTGTGTGGTGTGGTGAGGTGTGTGTAATGTGTGTGTTGGTGTGTGTGTGGTGTGAGGTGTGTGTGGTGTGAGGTGTGTGGTGAGGTATGTGATGTGAGGTGTGTGTGGTGTGAGGTGTGTGTAATCATGTGTCAGCGTGTGTGGTGTGAGTGTGGGGTTCGCAGTGTGTTGAGGCCTTGCATGTGCTGTGGCAGTTCTGGCCCTGGCCACACCGCAGTGGCGCTGTCCTTGCCCTGAGGCCTGTCAGGAGGAGCAGGACCAGTGGCGGCAGCTCTGGGGGCAGCAGGTGGAGGCGGAGGCGGCCCCTGGGCTGAAGGGCCCCCGCAAGTGTCGGGCTGGGCTCTGGGCGTGGCCTGGGGGGTCAGGGGCGGCCGCTCCCTGCTGCGCTGTCCTCCCTGACCCCCCTGAGCGGGAGCTGTGGCCCACGCACGCCCTCAGGGCAGGTCCTGCCACTCTCCCGCCATGCAGTGCTCCCGAGTCCTCTGCTGGGCTCAGGGTTGGCCCTGGCGTGGTTCTTGCTTGTCCACCCTGGAGGCCTCTTGCTGAGGCCAGGCCGGGGGCTTGGACCTGGGGAAAGGCCCAGGGCAGGAGGGCCCGTGTGCTTGGGGTGGGCAGCGCTGTCCCTTCGGGCCATGGCCCCTCCAGCTGCCGCCTCCGCAGTGTCACCGCTCTGGCCTGTCCCTCTGTTGTCCCCCTGCCTCTCAGCAGCTGACCCCAGTCAGTGTCCCTCACGGACCAGAGCCACCTCGGCAGACACAGGTTCGGGGCCTGGGTCCCCTCACCGGCTCCAGCCAGCCTGACCGTCTCCCTCCCTCACCCTCGAGGGCACCGCCTGGGCCGCCTCTGGGCCGCCTGCTGCGTCCCCTTGGTCCTCTCAGGGCCAGGCCCTGCGTCCTGGGACTCTGGGGGGACAGTCCGGCCGGAGAGTCCTCCTCCAAACACTCGCGTTTCCTATGAGCCAGGCCCTTCTCAGACGTGACACGCAGTGACGAGACCCGGAGCTCGGGCCAGAGGCGTCCCCAGGCTCTCCCTACTCTGAGGGCATCGCTAGGGGTGTCGCCCAGTGAGCGGCCAGGGCGGGGGAGGCGCTGGCCTTGCACGCCCTGAGTCTGGCTCAGTCCCCCGAGCACGGAGCCAGGAGGACACCCCTGGGGGCAGTGCTGCGGACCTCCCGCACCGGGCGTGCTGGGGTCCAGGCAAACCTGGCAGGTGGCCAGCGAGGGCTGGTCTGAGGGTGCCCAGACACTGAGATTCCCGCAGGAGTGGCTGGCTGAGCCGCCAGTGGTGCTGGGCAGCTGTGTCCCCCTCCTGGGGGCTCCGTTCAGGGCCCCTCTCTGTCCCCCCAAGAGCCACTGCTGGGACTGCCGCCAGCGTTCCCCCAAATAGGGGTGCCCGGGGGACCCCATGCTGATGCCCCAGCTCAGCTTGAGGCCTGAGAGGCCGACCCTGGCCACCCTGGCACCTCCATCCCCAACCCTGTCCTGGAGCCCCGCCCAGGGCGGCGGCCCCCAGAAGCTGAAGGGACCTTCTGGCAAGAGCGCTGTGACCACGGTGCCCGCGAGGCGCAGTGCCCCGCAGTGGCAGGGCCATGGTGGGCGAGGGTTCGGCCGGGGCTGGGGGCTCGCAGGGGTGCGGTTGGGACTCAGAACGCACCCCGCCCGGTAAGTGCCAGGCGCAACCAGGAGCGCCCTTCCGCGGGCACGAACGAACGTCGGGTCTCCCGAGGGCTGGGCTGGACTGGGCTGGGCAGAGGGGAAGAGGCAGCCCCCCGGGGTGTGTGTGTGTGTGTGTGTGTGTGTGTGTGTGTGTGTGTGTGTGTCTGCGTCGGGGCTGCACGAGGGCCCCGCACCCCACTCGAGGGTCCTCCGCCTCCAGGTGTGTCTGCTGGGGGCAGCCCGGACGGAGCGGCCAGCGCGGGGCTGGGACCAGGCTGGTGCGCGCCCGCCCGCCCGGGAGGCACGTGCCGCCGCTGCCGCTGTCACCGCGGGCCGGCGCGGGGGAGGCCGGGGCCGGGGGCCGCGGGCCGCGGGGAGGAAGCGCTGTCCGCACTGCGCCCGCCCCGGTGCCCAGCCCCGCGGCGCCAGCTCGGCCCGGCTCGGTACTCACGTAGAGGCCGGAGTGCGCGGCGCCGAAGAAGGGGAAGCGCACGGAGAGCGGCCGCAGCCCCGAGCCGCCGTCGTCCTGCTTGGGGGTGACCGAGTCGCCGTGCTCCAGGCCGAACGGGTAGAAGTCGGCCAGGGCCACCGCGCCGCGCGCCCCGCGCGCCCCGAGCCCCAGGGCCACGGCGCAGAGCAGCGCCCAGGCGGCGGCGCGCCGCATCGCGGGTCGGGGCGGCCGGGGGACGCGGGGGTCGGGGCGGGGACGGGGCGCGGGGAGGACGCGGCGCGGGGGGCGGACGAGCCGGGCGCGGGGGCCCGACGGGGATGGAGCGGGGCTCGGGGCACGGAGCGCAGGGGACAGGGCTGGGCTCGGGCGCGGAGCGGGGCGCGGGGGACCGCGCGCGGGGGGACGGAGGGGCTGCGGGACGGGATGGGGCAGAGGGTGCGGCGGGGTCGCCGGGGCGCGGCGGGACAGCGGGCACCGGGGCGACGGCGCGGGGGGCGCGCGGGGGACGGCGCGCGGGGGCGTCGCGGTCCCCGGGGTCCCGGAGTCGGAGGCGCAGCCCGGCCCGGCCGCCGTCGGGGCGCTCCGCGCGGGGTCCGGTCCCGCTGCCCGCTGCCCGCGGCCCCGCCGGTCCCAGCCGCGCCGAGGAAGGCGCCGGGCGGGACCGTGTCGGGGCGCCCCGCCCCCGAGGCGGCGCCTTAAGGACCCCGTGGGCCGGTCCCGGACTGGGCAGGGCCGGGGCGGGGACACGCGCCCCGGGGGGCTCTTAAAGCGCCAGGCCGCGGGGCGGAGCGCGCCGCCCGGTTTCCCCCGCGCGCCCCCCGCCCGGCCCCCAGCCCGCGTGGGTAGGGTCGGGGGCGCCTCGCCCACCGGGCTGCAGGGAAGGCCCGGGTCGGGCTCCCGAGGGGTGGCCGCCCGGGGTCCGGTGGTCCGCGGGGCCACCTCTGCGCCCCTCCAGCAGGCAGAGCTCCAGGTCTGGGCAGCCGGACCTCACAGTTCCGGAGGGAGGCACGCCCTGCACACACACACACACACACACACACACTCACTTATCCACACCCCTACACACGTGCTCCGCCACGGGTCACCAGTGACCGCTCATACACACGCTCACACCGATGCTCTCCTGCAGTTACATGTTCATACCCACACACTCACACCGATGCTCTCATGCAGTTAAGTGTTCACACACACTGACACTCGTGCAGTTACATGTCATGCTCACACTGGTGCTCTTGTGCATAGCTACATGCTCACACACATGCACACCCACACTATCATGCAGTTACATGGTTACACACACTGATACTCTCGTGCAGTTATGTGCTCACACCCACACACATATCCACACTGACACCCTCATGCACATGTTCACACAGTTGCACATACGTTCACATTGACACTCATGTAATTTGCGTGTTCATACTTGCATACATGTGCACACTGACATTCTTGTGCAGTTACAGGCTCACACACACGCATACTGACACTTGTGAACAGTTATATGTTCGCACACTGCTCACACTGACATTCTCATGCACAGTTACTTGTTCAGTGCTCTCTCACACATTGATACTTTCATGATCACACACTGCACACATGCTCACACTGTTTTCATGCACCTGTTAAGTGCTCTCACACACACTGACACTCTCATGCAGTTACGTGCTCATACATTCTCACACCCACTCACACTGACACTCTTGCGCACTATTGCATGTTCACAAAGCACATGCCAACACTGACAATCTCATGCCCAATTACATGCTCACGTGCTTGCACACATGAAGACACACACTATACACAGCTACAGGCTCACACATATACTCATGCAGTTACATGCTCACACACATTCTCATGCAGTTACATGCTCACACATACTAATACTGAGACTTGTGCACAGCTTAATATTCATGCACTTGCAACATACACTGACTCTCATGCATGCAGTTTTATATGCATACACCTGTGCACACACTTACACTCAGGCACGTGCTCACACATACTCATGCACACTCACGTTGACACAGATTCACTAACACACACTAACACGCTCAACAGAGACACTAATGCTCACATGTTCACACTCATACTCACAATCTTACTCAGGTTCCAGCATCCACTCATGCACTCACACTGATACTGACACACTGACATTAACACACTCACACACTGATATACATCAACACACGTGCAGATTCTCACATACACATACTCACACGCTCACAAACGTCCTAATATGCTGACACCTACTGACTCTCACACTCCACACACTGACACACCCATACACTGACTCACACACACGCTGGCACACCTGCTGATTCTCACACTCACATTTGCACACTCTGACCTGCACTCACACGTGGCCCTTACACAGTCACAGGCTCGCACGGGTCCACATGCAGCCTGAGGGCAGAGCTGGGGCGGTCTGGGGGGTCCCCGTCGGAGGGTGTCCCTGACTGCCCTCTGCCCTTGCGAGGGGCCCACTGGAGCCTTGTGGGACATGGGGGTCAAAGAGCACAGGGGGTCACAGTGCACAAGCTCACAGTGCATGGATAGGGTCGTAGAGCACAAGGCAACAGAGCTCGGGGTCACACAGCACAGGTGAAGCGGGAGACCCGGAGACCTTGGAGCCAGTGTGTGTGGGGCTGTGCTGCGTGGCGGGGGGTTCCCAGGGCCCCACCCAGCTGACGGCAGCCTGGGAGACCAGGGGTTAAAATAGCCCCTCACCCATCCACCACCCTCAACTCTACAGGCAAAAAAGAAAAAAATGGTATTTTTTTTCAGGTGCTAAAAATACGCTCAGGAAATACTTCCAGCGGGGCCAGGTTTCTCGGCCTCAAGGCGCCTTTGTCCCTGCTCAGAAAGTCCACATTTATCACAGCCTGACACAGCCGGGCCGGCACGCGGAGCCTCCAGCTAAGGCGACCTAGTGGGGGGTTGGGGGGGTCAGTCAGGGCTCAGCGTCCCTCGCTGCCCCGGCCGCCTGCAGGGGCCGTCCACCTCCCAGCCCGGGGCCAGGACCCACTCCTGGCAGTCCTGAGATGGTCAGAACCGGGGGGCTGACCGCAAGCCCAGGGCACGGCTGAGCGGGGCTCTGGGGAGAGTGCCCGGGACACCCCCTCTCTGTCCCTGCCCCCAGCCCTCCCTGTCCATCACCAGGCCGGGGCGGGAGCTCTGCTGTAGCAGCCCGGGGCCATGGCCGCCTGCGTCTCTGGCCTAGTCCTGGCTTTGCCACGGGGCCTTGGTCCAGCTCCTGTCCCGTTCGCCCTTCTGGGATGCGCTGAGTTGTGCAGGACGCGGGTCCCTGAGGGTGCTGCATGTGAGGCCGGCACCGTCCCCGCTGCCCCAGCTGTCCGCCCTCCTCTAGCTCCTAAACGACGGTCACTGAGTGAGGGTCACCAGAATCTGGCCACAGGAAAAGGTTTCTGAAGCAATGGTCGATTCGATTAGCCGCGTGGCCACTGGAGGGGTCTCTGAGGAGCCCAGGAGGCGGAGACGCCCCTCACTGGGGAGGGGGCGCGGCCCAGTACAGAGACCCACACACCAGTCAGACTCCACACACTTTATCGGCATCAGAACCCTCCCCGCCCTGGCCTGCTGCTCGTGGCTGACCCCTGCCATGCTGGGAGGTGCCCCCGAGGACATTACGGTCGTGGAAGCCTTGGCCTGGGTGCCCTGGAGCTATGGGCAGGGAGCGGCACCAAGCCCCGGCCCTCACGACCCTCTGTCCCAGGCTGCGGGCACTGGTGGGACCCTTGGATGGGCAGAGCAGGAGACGCCACCTCCTGCTGACCGCAGGCCGGGGGCCGGCAGGGCCACTGGGGAGGGGGAGGGGACAGCCAGGCCATCGGACCATCCCGTGCCAGGCCCCAGCTTCTGTGTTGGGGACGTGGGTGCACTCCGACACGGGAGAGGCCTTCCCTGGGCTGTGTGCTGGGGGGAGGGGGCTGCCTGAGGGGCGTCCCCAGGGGCTGAGTGACTCAAGCACTGTGGACAAGGTCCCCTTGGGGTCCCCGGCAGCCCCTCCCACTGTCCCCACAGAGCGGCAGGAGCACTGGCCCTTGGGCCAGCGGGGGCTGCCAGGGGGCCATGAGGGTCATTGGCGAGGCCGTCGGGCTGGTCCGTGGTCGCGCCCGGGGCCTGACGCAGGCTCACTTCTTGGCCGGGAGGTGCGGACTGTGTGGGCTCGGCGCCGCCGCACTTCCTGGTCCAGCTGCTCCTTCAGCGCGGCCACCTGGGGACAGGGCAGGGCTCAGTGGGCTGGCGGGAGGCTGGACCCCGGCCCACGGCTCCCCAGCGGACGAGGGTGGGCGAGCAGCCTCGCGTGGACAGAGTCCTCACGCGCTCTCCGCTGCCAGCGCGTGGACACGCTCCTGGCCTGGCCACTGGCTCAGGGACACGGGGGCTCAGCCCCGCTGGACAAGGGTCTGGCCAGCTCCGGGGCTCTGGTCACTGCTGGTGCGTCTGTGCGTCTGCTCAGGTACAAGAAACTAGTGTGTGCTCCTTGGCACGTGAGCCACACTGTGCAAGAGTGTGCATACATGTGTATGCTCTTGCGTGTTCAGTGCATGTGTGTCTATGCAGAGCACATCCCTGTATGTACATGTTTGTGTCATGTATGCCTTGCGTGTTCAAGAACTCTCCAAGCACACACATGTGCCGCGTGTGCACGTGTGTTCAGAGTATGCCCTGAAGGTGCAAGGCTCTCTAGGTACACACGCGTGCTGTGTGCACAGGCCTGACTGCCACACGTGCAGTGTATGCTCCTGTGTGTTCACGTGTGTGCAGCGTATGTCCCTGTGTACGCACGGCCTCTCTGTGTGCACGTGTGTGCAGTGCGTGCCTTGCGTGTGCACATAGCAGGCTGCGGTCTGGGCTCACTTTCTCACACTCCCTCCAGACCAAAGGACAGGAGTGGCCCTGCCCTGCTGCTGGCCACGAGGCCCTGTGGAGAGGCCACCTACAGCAGCTCACGGTCTTCTTTCCTGGGGCCTGGCGGGGGAGTGGGAAGCGGTCACTGGACAGTGTGGAGTGGGCCCGGCGGGGGGGAGCGGTCACTTCAGGGCGTGGGGTGGGAGCCCCTGGGCCAGGCTCTGGGCAGGCCGCCCTGAGGCACGGCTGTGGGCGGCTTGTCTGCCCACCTGGGCAAGGCACCCCTGCCGGGTGTGGCATGGGGGCCCGAGAGTGGGCCTGGGCCTAGAGGGCACGTGTGCTGCCGCCACCAGGGGGCACCAGACCCGGGGCACGGTCTGTGCAGGGTCCTGGGGCAGCTGGATGACAGCGGTTCAGTCCTGGAGAAGGGGGCGCTCTCCCCGGCCCACAGGGTTACGGCTGTCCCAGGGCTGGTCTCTGCCCTGAGCTCGGGCCGGGTCCGGCTGTGCGAGCCCCGTCCAGGGGGCGGCCCCAGCTCCGGACAACCCGCTGTGCCTGTGGCGGGAGGCCAAGGTCACTGGCACCCACGCCCAGCGGGGGCGGGGGGCTTAGTGGGGCGTCAGGGCACCTCCCCAAGCACCCCCGGGGGCAGGGAGGGGGGCAGGGGGCAGGCTGGCCCCCACCTGGCCGAGTGTGGAGCCCCTCCCCCCCGGGGGGTCTGGGCTGAGTTCCCGCTCCCCCAGACAAAGCTCCCTTTCTTTGTCAGGGCCCACAAAGTGGCGCCCAGCCCCGCGGAGCCATCCTGTGGCTTTAAGAGCCCAGAGCCCCCCTGCGAGCGCCTGCAAGGAGAGAAAAGTGAATCCAAAATAAATACCGGCCACATCCGGGTTTCCCCTCCCGAGACGCCAATAAAGGCTGCGCTGGCCCTGCACAACTGACCTCCTGGAACTCATTAGCACCCCTCCCCCACGCCCCACAGCTGGCCCGGCCGTGCCAGGCAGGACAAGCCCCCGCACGCATCACACACACACACGCACACACGCATGCATGCACACACACACGCACCTCCCCCACACATACGCACCCCCCACATGCATGCACACACACGCAAACACATGCACAACATGCACCTCCCCACATGCATGCATACACACATAGACACATACACACATGCACGCACACACCCCACACATGCACACACGCATACACACGCATCCCCCCACAGACACACACATGCACCACAGACACCACACATACACATACACACGCAGACCCCCAGCTCTGCAGCCCAACGCTGGGCCCCAGGACCCCCACCCCCCATGCCCCATTCCACAGCCCGTGTGGGCCGGTGGGAGGAGCCACAGTTGCTGCTGACCGCTGGGCCCTGGGAGCTGGGTCACGGGCAGGCGCTGTCCCAGGCCCCCACTAGTCACGGGTGGGCTCTGCCCCAGCTTTGCCCCTCCCCAGTCTGGAGGCCCTGCAGCGCCCCCCAACCGATGCCCAGCGTCCTGTAGTCCAGGGCTCCATGGAGCACGTCCCCAGGGGGAGCCGGGCATGTGCAACGCAGGGCAACCCCCGCCAGGCAGCTTGCAGGGGTGGGGTACAGGCACGCAGCACAGCCCGGGGCTCCTGGGTCCCGGCTTTCTGCACCCGTGCCCCAGTACCCATACGCAGAGCACCAGGGGTACCTATGCCCAGAGTATCTGTGCCCCAGTGTGTCTGTGCCCCGGTACCTACACCCAGAGTACCTACACCCACAGTTTCTCTACCCAGAGATGCTGTGCTCGGTGCCAGAGGACTCTGCCCAGGTCCTGTTCTTGGAGTACCCCAGTACTTGTGCGCGAGGACCCACACGCCCAGAGCAACGGTGCCCCAGGGCCTGTGCCCTGAGTACCATGCCAGGACACCTGGGCCCTGAGTACTATGCCCTAATACCTGTGCCTTGAGTATCATTCTGGGGTACCTGTGCCCCAAGTACATTACCCAGTTCCTTTGCCCCAAGAACCCGTGCCCCAGTTCCTGTGCCAGAGCACCTGCACCTGGACTCCCCGGGCCCCAAGGACCGGTACCTTAGTACCTGTGCCCTGAGTACCTGTACTCCCAAGGCCGGTGCCCTAGTACCCATGTCCCGAGCACCCATGCCCCAAGGACCGGTACACTAGTAACTGTGTCCTGAGTACCCATGCCCCAAGGACTAGTACCTTAGTACCTGTGCCCTGAGTACCCATGCTCCAAAGGCCGGTGCCCTAGTACCCGAGTCCCGAGTACCCATGCCCCAAGGACTGTTACCTGGCATCTATATAGTGGACCCTTGGGCTCCTGGGGAGGAACTTCTCCCTGGACTCTCACCTGTCCCTGGCCAGGAACCCTGGGATTGGGTACTCGGTCCTCACGGCAGGTGGGATGGCCTAGGTTCTGGGGGTGGTGAGTGCACTGTGACCCTATGTCCTGGGGCTGCTTCTCGGGGCCAGAAATTTCCGGCAGAGCCCTGGTCAGGGCCAGGGTGAGCCCTGCTGACTAAGCCTCTCACCTGAGGCATGAGATCAGACCTACCTGGCGCCGGGCTGGCCGTGCCCACTCTGCCTCCCGGTCCCTGCGCTCCGTCTGCTGGCTGTGCTGCCCACTCTGGCAGAGGGCCTGGCGGAGTGCGTCCACTTCTTCCTGGGGAGGGAGATGGGAGTCCCCTGGGAATGTGCCGGGGACAGCTGAGTTGCAGGCTTAGCCTGTGTGTGAGCTCAGGGCTCAGGACAGGGTCCACGGCTCCACGCTTGGTATGTCCTCACCCTGTGGGGGGACAGGGTCTGGGCCCTTTATACTGGCCCTGGGCAGGGGCAGCGCTGGGCAGTGCCCACCCTGAGAGGCCCCAGGAGGAAGCTGGTCCTCCCGCCCTTGGCCTCTGTCTGGTGCCTGTTGGGGGTCTCAAGCTGCTTCCCCGTTGAGGGCTGGCCCCTGCACAGCCTCGGTTCAAATGTCGAGTGTGCACACATCCCCCCACTGCCTGCAGGGGTGATGCCCTGAAGGGAGAACTGCCCTCCTGGGCAGCTCCAGGCACAGGGGCAGTGCAGGGGGACGCAGGGCGCAGCCAGGCCCTTTGGGTTGTGGGTGGGCATCAGAGCTCCTGCCATCTGCCCGCATGGCGGCCAGGTTCTGGGAACCCTCCTAGGGGTCCTGTGGGACTCTGGGGGTGCCAGGAGCCTGCCCAGCCTCAGTTTCCCCACCAGTGCCAGGGCCATGCACACTCCCGGGTTACTGTTGGCCCTAGAGGGAGTCTCACCAACCTCGAGGTGACAAGCGGATAGGACAGCTGGCACTGTTCCCTTCAGCCCCGGCCCCGGACCACAGAGCCCAGGGACCTGCACGGGGACAGGATGGGCGGGGATGGGACAGGCAGGGATGGGGAGGGGACGGGGTGAGGTGGCCCCTTAGCCTGTGCCCAGCCCGCTGGACTCTCCGTGCAGTGGCTCAGACTTGGGCCCCCGCCCCGAGGCTGGCCTGCCTGCTTGCAGCGCAAGGGGACACAGCAGCTGACGGCCCTCGGGGGGTGGGGGGGGGGGACCCAGGCCACTGTCCTGACGCTGACCAGTAATCCCTGCCCACCCACACCTTCAGTCATGCCGGCCTTGTGGGCAGCTTCGCTTTCTCTGAGCTTCCCCGGAAAGTCTCAAACATCTGCCTGTGATGTGTCGGGACAGACGCAGAGAGAGACCCACGGACAGAAGGACCAGCAGGAAGCAGTGGCCCGGGGGTGCACGCGAGAAATCAGAGTCATCCTGGGGATCTAGTGGATGCCACGGCATGGGAGGCCACGCGGAGGCCAAGCTTGGGGGGGACGTGCTGGCACCAGGTGGGCCTGAAGGCTGGGACGAGGCACAGGGGCTGCAAGGAGGGGATGGGGGCGCCTCCCGTCCCTGGGGAGCAGGGAGACGCCTGTGGCTGGCTGTGCTGCCCCCCTCGCAGGCCTGTGTCCCGGCAGTGGCCGGGTGGGCCGCGTTTGTTGATGTGCTGGGGTTGCCCTGGAGACGGGCGGGGCTGCCTCAGGAATGTCACTATTCGCACCCGGGGCTCAGCCCTTAATGAGAACCGTGTGCCTTTAACGAGATGCTCTGGACCTAGCCAGTCCAGCCTGCTGGAGAGTGGACACTGGACACCGCGGGCTCAGTGCAGCAAGAGGCCACAGCTATACCACCGTGCGAGCAGAGATGGACACAGGCTCACGGGTGTGAACGGAGATGAACACAGGCCCACGACGTGGGCAGAGATGGACACAAGTCCATGGGTGTGGGCAGAGATGGACGTGCAGGAGCCCTTCCCTGGAGGCACATCAGGCCTCAGACACTGGCCTGTCCCCAGCAGCAGGTGACAGGGCTGAGCTCGGCCGGCCCCGGGCGGCTCTGAGCAGAGGGGGCCATGGGCGACCGTGGGAGCAGAGGCGGGGTCGGGGCATGTGCTGGGCAGGGTGGGGGACAGGGGAGCAGGGGGAGGGGTCCCCACCGAGGCCCTCGGGGGTCACAGACACTTGTCTGTGCTCAGGGCGACTCCCAAAGGCGCCTGGGCCCTCTGGGTGCCGGCGGGTCAGGGTCAGGCGTGCAGGGCCTCAGGGCCCCTGTGGTCGGTTCCGGCCTCAGCGTTTCCCAGGGCCCTTGGGTGCCCGCCTGGGCTCATCCAGGACATAAGCTTTGGGAGCAGGGGGCCCGTCCAGATGGGGAGTGGCCCCTGCAGGCAGTGGGGGCCAAGCCAGGGCTGGGGTGATCCCGCGTGGTGGCCGCAGCCCCGTCCCCGGGTGCCCCTCGGAGCCGCCCGCGGGCTACAGGGGATCCGTGGGGACGGGGCTGGGGCCCCCACTCTCCCTCCCGGGCTCAGGGTGCCTGGCCACGTCTGCACCCCGCCTCGGCCAGGACCTGGGGCCAGGAACTTCCCGGCCCCTGTGGAGACAGGCCTGCTCTGCCTGCCCTGCAGGGCCCCCACCCTCGCTGGCCCGGGGTGGTCACCTTCCTCTGCCTCCACCAGCGCTTTCTGCAGCTGCCCCACGCGGCTCTGAGCCTGGGCCCGTTCACTCTCCTCCTCACTCAGTCGCAGGCTCAGCCTCTCAGCCTGGAAGCGCCAGTCATCCTGGGGGTATGAGGGGCAAGGGGCAAGGAGCAGGGGTGAGAGGTGAGGGACAGGTGAGGGACAAGGAGCAGGGGAGCAGGGGTGAGGGGCGAGGGGCAAGAAGCAGGGGTGAGGGGTGAGGGGCAAGGAGCAGGGGTGAGGGGTGAGGGGCAAGGGGCGAGGGGCAGGGGTGAGGGGCAGGGGTGGGGTTGAGGGGCAAGGGGCAGGGGTGAGGGGTGAGGGGTCAGGTGTCAGGCACAGGAAGGGGCAGCCTCAGCTGCAGGACAGGCAGGAGTGTGGGGCGGGGGGCACAGGGAGGATCGGGGTGGGGCTGAGCTGGCCGGCAGGTGCTGACCCACTCTGGGCTGTAGTACTGGGTGCGAGACATGGCAGGCGAACTGCCGGGCTCGGGCTGGGCAGGGCGGTCAGCTCGTCCCCAAACCCTTCCCAGGTGGGGACCCTGTGGCGTGTGGTCGAGCCCCCGGGGGGTCCCGGGAGACAGTCTGGGTGGGCGTGGCCGTGGCCGGCGCCCCCTACCCGCTGGCGTTGGGCCTCCCGCAGCCGCTGGGCCGCGTCTCTCAGGGCGTCCCGTGCTGCGGCCACGTCCACCTCCGCCCCCAGGTCCCGAGGCTCTGGCCAGGGCCCCTGGGGCGGCGAGCGGGGCCTGGAGGGGACCCGGGGGTCGGGGACACCTGAGGGACAGCAAAGGGACAGGGCTGGGTCGGGGCCACCCGGCCGTGCAGGCCCCGCTCGGGCAGGCTGGCAGGTGGCCCAGGACACTGACCTCTGCCGGGGGACCGGGGCCGCTCCGGAGAGGACGACGGGCTCCGGGCGTGCAGCCCCAGGCCACGCCGCAGCGTCCCCCAGAGCCGGCGGAGCTGCTCCTCAGCCTCCCGCCGGGTGCCCTGAGCCTCCGCCAGCTCCTCCTGGAGGCCTCGCACCCGGCCGCCGGCCTGCTCCAGACGGGCCTGCAGCGTGTCGGCCCGGCCCGTGGCCTGCTGCAGCTTCCCGCAGACGGCCTGCAGCTCTGCCCGCAGGGCCCGCGTCGCACCCTGGCTCTCCCGCACCTGCTCCCGCAGCCTCCTCTCCTGGGCCTCCCCGGCGGCCTCCGCCTCGGTCAGTGCCCGCCGCAGCCTCAGCACCTGTGAGAGTCCCGGGCGAGGTGGGAGGCCACCGGCCGGAGCCCGGCCTCACACCCAGCCGGGAGCGCCGCCTCCTACCTCCTTGCTGGCTCCCTCGCGGTCAGCCTGGGCCTTGGCCACCTGCCTCTTCAGCTCCTGGGCTTCCCGAGCCCCCCGCGCCTGCAACTGTCTCAGCTCCTGGCTCTGCTGCTGCCTCTCCCCCTCCAGAACCTTCACCTGCAGGCAGGACGCACCAGGTGGGGCTCACTGGGGTTCACAGGGACCCACCAGGATTCATCGGGGCTCACTGGGACTCACCAAGGCTCACCAGGGCTCACTGGGGTTCACTGGGACTTATTGGGGCTCACTGGGGCTCACCAAGGCTCAACAGAGCCTACTGGGGCTCACCAGAGCTCACCGGGGCTTAGGGCTCATCAGGGCTCACTGGGGCTCCCTGGAACTCACCAGGGCTCAGGACTCACCATGGCTCACTGGGGTTCACAGGCTCACCAGGACTTACTGGGGCTTGGGGCTCACTGGAGCTCAGTGGGGCTTGGGACTCACCGGGGCTCACTGGGGCTCACCAGAGCTCACCGGGGCTCACTGGGGCTCACCAAGGCTCAACAGAGCCTACTGGGGCTCACCAGAGCTCACCGGGACTCACTGGGGCTTAGGGCTTAGGGCTCATCATGGCTCACTGGGGCTCACTGGAACTCACCAGGGCTCAGGACTCACCAGGGCTCACTGGGGTTCACTAGGGCTCACCAGGACTTACTGGGGCTTGGGGGCTCACCGGGACTCACCGGGACTCACTGGGGATCATCAGGACTCACCGGGACTCACTGGGGCTTGGGGCTTACCAGGGCTCATTGGGGCTCACCAGGGATCAGGGCTCACTGGGGATCACTGGGGCTCATCAGGACTTACTGGGGCCTGGGGCTCACCGGGACTCACCGGGACTCATCGGAGCTCACTGGGGCTCACTGGGATTCGCTGGGGCTCACCGAGGCTCAACGGGGCCTACTGGGGCTCACCTGAGCTCACCAGGACTCACCGGGACTCACTGGGGCTTGGGGCTCCCCGGGGCTCATTGGGGCTCACTGGGACTCACCAGGGCTCAGAACTCACCAGGGCTCACTGGGGTTCACTGGGACTTATCGGGGCTCACCGAGGCTCAACGGGGCCTACTGGGGCTCACCAGAGCTGCTCACCAGGACTCACCGGGACTCACCAGGGCTCACAGACCTCACCTGTGTCTGACTCCATACAGGTCTCCCTTATGTGTGGGGAGGGGAGGAGGTCAGGGTCACCTGTGCGAGCAGCTGCCGCAGCTCCTGCTGGACATCCCTCCGGGCCTGCTCTGCCTGCCGCAGGCCCGCCTGCAGCTCGGCTGCCTCCTCCCGGGCCGCCTGCTGGGCCTCTCCCAGCTCCAGAACCTTCTGCGCCGTCTGCTCCTCGGAGCACCTGAGGCTGGGACACGGGCAGGCGGGTTCCCGGGCCCGTCCTGCCCCCAGTGGGCCCTGGGCGTCCCTCCCGGAGGTGTGGCCCGTGGCGCCCTGTGCCGCCCTCCTCCCGCTGGGCAGAGCGGAGGCCCGAGCGTCCCTCCCGGCCGGCCCACGGCGCCTACCGGGCCTTGTCCTGCTCGGCGCTGCGCAGGGCGGCCTGCAGCTCAACGTTGGCACGCTGCAGCAGGGCCCGCGCCCGCGCCTCCTGGTCGCGCGCCCGGGCGGCCTCCAGGGCCTCGCGCCGGGTCACCTCGCCACTCTCCCTGCTGCCCCGGAGCTCGTGGCGCAGCCTGGCCAGGGCCTCCCGCGCCTCGTCCAGCTGGGCCCGCAGCCGCTCGGCCTGTGGGAGGGGCCGGGCGGCCAGTGGGAGGCGGGGGGAGGGGGCGACCCCCAGCCCCCTGCCCGATGGCCTCCAAGCCCCATGCCCTGAGCCCCAATGCCCTGGACTCCTGGTGTGGCCCAGGGCCTGCGTGTGGCCAGGCCACTGCTGTGTCCCACGTCCCGTGGGCCTGGCCGGGGTGGGGGTGGAGGAGCCGCCTCAGCACGGGTGGCCCCACTCCGCTCTGCGGACCCCCGTGGACGCCTGTGGGGGCGGCGTCCGGGACGGCAGGGGCAGTGGGCGGCGGAGGGGCTCTGCGGGAGAGTCCTGGGCAGCGCGGGGAACGGGGCCCCACCTGCGTGGCCGTGCGCGGCCCCGCCAGCACCAGCCCCCTTGGCCGGCCGGCAGGAGGCCGTCCTGCCCGCCCGTGCCGCGTGCTGGGGGTTGTTGTTCTGTTTGGGGAAGGGCCGCGCCCGCCTCCCGGCCCACATGTGGGAGCCTCAGCATTTTCCGCTGAGCTCAGCAGAAATGTGCCCAGAGGTCGGGACCCCGCGGGCCGCCCCGCCCTCCGGGGACTGCACAGGGGCGGGAGGGGGAGCGCGCGCAGGAACGCCCCCCGCCCCCGCCCACCCCACGGCCCCAGGAGAACAGGCCCCCTTTGACAGGGACTCTGCAGCCAAACCGCTGAATGTGGTTAAGGTTCCTCCTGGAGGTCGGCGGGCAGCCTCTCAGGAACTCCGCGGGGAGGCGTGGAGGAGGGGGGGCCCGGGGCTGAGTGTGTGTGTCTGCGGCATGTGCGTGTGCATGTGTGTGCACGAATGCATGTGTGCATGTGCGTGTGTGCACGTGTGTGCGTGTTTGTGTGCTTGCCTGAATGTCTGTGTCTGTGAGTCTGTGCATGCAAGGCTGTGCGTCTGTGTGTCTTTGCGTGTCTGTCTGTGCACATGGCTGAATCATGAGTATCCACATTGGTGTTATGTGTGTTGCGAGTGACTTGTGGTGTGTGTGACAGTGTGTGTTGTGTCCAACTTGTGCTGTATGTGACAGTGTGTGTTGTGTGTTACTGTGTGTGATGTGCTGTGCAGTATGTGCTATGAGTGCCTGTGTATGACTGTGCAGTGTGTGACTGTGTGTGTTGTGTGTGTGGCGTGTGACTCTGTGTGGTATGTGTGTGGCAAGTGACTGTGTGTGGTGTGTGTGTTGTGTGTGACTGTGTGACTGTGTACAACTGTGTGTGGTGTGTGTGTTGGAGTGACTGTGTGTAGCATGTGACTGTGTGGTGTGTCTGGTGTGTGTTGTGTGTTCTGTATGACTGCCTGTGTGGCATGTGGCTATGTGCTGTGTGACTGTGTGTGTGGCATGTGGCTATGTGTGGTGTGTATTGTGTGTGGTGTATGTGTGGTGTGACTGTGTGTGTGTTGTGTGTGGTGTGACTGTGTGTGGTGTGTGTTGTGTGGCGTGTGTGCCGTGTGTGCCGTGTGTGTCCTGGTGTGCCCTGCAGGGGCTGCTGCGGGTTGCGCCCGGCACTCCAGTGTAAGCTGGGAGTGTGTGGTTTCCATGGCGACGTGGGGCCAGCCTGGCGCCTGGGCGGCTGCCTCGGCCCTCCCCCTCGCCCACAGCCTCTGCGAGACCCCGAGACCCGCATCCCCGAGCCCAAGGCTGCGCCGCCCCCCCCCCCCCCCGGACGGCCATGCCCTCCCCGCCCCCCCCCCCCCCCGCACCCCCACGGCCCCCGCCCCTGCGGACTGGCCTGACAGGATCTGCTGAAAGGAAACTTTCTCCTGGCGCCAAAGTCAACAGCCCGGCCAGTCCCGCTGCCAGACCCTCCCCCGCCGTCCCGAGCCCCGCTGCTCACCTGGTACCGCCCGGGAGGCCCCGGCCACTCGCACCCGGACCTCCCCTGCCCCACGCCTCGGGGCCTGAAGCCGTCCCGCGCCCTGTCCTGCACATGCCTCACACATGCCTCACACGGCCCCGCAGGGGCTGCCCCTGCCCACCCACCCGCCCCACCCGTCTCTCCGCCAGCCTCCACGCTCCCCCCACCCCTTCGCCTCCCTCCCCTCACCTCTACCCCTCACCTCACCCGACCTCACCCCTTCACCTCATCCCCTCACCCCTGCCCCTCACCTCTCCCTCCGTGCTGCTTCTCTCAGCTGCCACCTCCCGGAGCTGGGCCCTCAGGGTCTCGGTCTCCACCTGGTGGGCCTTGATGGCTTCCTCGAACTGGGCCTGCAGGGTGCGCAGCTCCATGGCCGTGGTGGTCAGCGAGTCCTGGGGCACCGGCAGGGTCAGGGCCTGGGGCACGGGCTGGGCCTGGCCACTCCTCAGTGGCCGGGACGCAGCCAGGCCCAAAGCCAGTGTCTGGGGCCAGGCAGCGGGGGCAGCGCTCTCCCGGGCCCTCCCGTGCCCAGCCTGGCCCCGACTCCTGGGCCCCTTCCGGCCCCAGGCCCCCTGCCAGGTCCTGCCCCCCAGGCCCCCCGCCCTGCCCTAGCCCCCCGCCCAGGCTCTGCAGTTTCCCTCGTCTGAGTGTTGGGCAGGCCGGACAGGGGCAGCGACAGAGGGACAGGGACGAGGGGCCTCTTCTCCTGTCCTGCTCCTCATGGCCTTGCCCAGGAGCCAGGGACCCCGGCCAGCTCCATCCCACAGCCCGCATGCTGTCCTGGCCCAGGTGGGTGCAGGGGGCCAGCCCGCACCCCGGTCCCGCTCACCTCAGCCCTCGCCCCAGGGCCCCCCACTCACCTCGGCCCGGGCCTGCTGGCTCTTGGCCTCCCGCCGCACCTGCTCCAGCTCCCGCACGGCCGCGGCCACCTCCTCCCGCAGCCGCCCCAGCTCCGCGTCCTTCAGGGACAGCGCCTGGACAGACGGGGCTGGGCAGAGGGGCCGCACCCAGGCAGCGAGGCCCCACACCTGCCCGCTCCCCGGGCCCTGTCTCGCCCAGCCTGGCTCCAGTGGGCCATGTGTGGCCCTGGCCGGGTGGGAAGCGTCTCCTGCCCAGCCCTTCTCAGACACACGCGGGCCGGAGAGCGGCGCCGCGTCCACCCATCCAGGGCCCTTGGGAGCACCTGTCAGGAGTGTCTGCAGTTCACAGGTACTGGGGGCCCCGGTTAGGCAGTCCCTGTTCCAGGCTGAGCACGTGACCAGCAATGCCGCCACTCAGACCTAGCCAGGCAGTGGCCGGCTCCTGCCTCTGGGCCTCCCCAAGGGCCAAGAGGCTGCTGGGGCCACGGCAGAGCAGACCACAGAGGCAGGGCGGCAGGAAGAGCCCGAGCCCCACAGACCCTGCGAAGGAAGGATGCTCAGGCGTGCAAAGGGCAGGCGCCTGGCCGGACGGGTGGCGACTGGGAGAGGGAGGGTGGGTGCACGGCAGGGTGGATCACTGACGAATGGACAGGCGAGTGGGTGGGTGGGCAGAGAGATGCGTGGGCGGGTGAGCATGGGCAGGGACAGACGAATGGGAGAGCGTTCGGACGGTGGGGCAGGCGGGTGGCTGGCTGAATGGACGGACGGGCAAGAGATGGGGGCGGAGGGATGGTGAGGATGGGTGAGCAGTGGGTGGACGGACAGACAGACGGAGAGACGGACGGGTGGTGGATGGCGGAGGGATGAACGGGGATGAGTGATGAATTACGGAGGGTGGGTAGACGGAGGGGCAGTGGACGGTGGATGATGCATGGACGTGTGGCTGGTGGACAGAGGGTGGGCGGTGGGGGTGGGCGGAGGAGGGCTGACGCATCATTCTGTCGTCTGTTCATCCACACCCACACACCGTCCACCCCCCATCGCTGGGTGGCGGGTGATGGCTGGGTGACGGGTGGCGGGTGATGGGTGGATGGTGGGTGGGTGACGGGCGTGGGTGCGTGGATGGTGATGGCAGGAAGGGAGAGGTGAGTCTGTCAGGACGACTAAGGGAGGTGAGGCAGTAAGGCCGTGACCTGGGGGGGGCAGTGCCGTCCGGTCCCCTCCTGGGCCTGCAGAGGGCTGAGGAGGCCAACGAGTGGGAGCCTCCTGGCCGCCGCCCACGCGGGCACCTGCTTCCTCTGGTCCTCCAGGTGGCGGAGGCTCTCGTCTCGCTCCCGCCTCAGGCTCTCGATCGCCTCCTTCAGAGACTGGCCACTGGCCGCGGTTCTGGCCACCCGCTCCTTCTCCTCGGTCAGAGACAGGCCCAGGCTCTCCTGGGCCGGACAGTGAGGACGGAGGCCAGTGCGCTCGGCCCCGGGAGGCCAGAGGGGCAGCCGACATTGGCGCGGCCAGCCATGTGCCCACGAGCCCGGTGCCCGGAGCCACCCAGGGCCTGCCCCGACCCATCTGCCTCTTGTCGGACGGGGCCCTCCCTTGGCCGATGGCCTGCAGGTGCCGCCCTGAGGGTCCTCATGGCCTCGGCCGCCCGGGGGTGTCGAGACCCACCTTCTCCCGCTGCAGCCGGGCGACGTCCTCGCGGAGGGCCAGTGCCGCGTCCCGCTCTCGCCGCGCCTCCTCCTGCTGCCGCTCCAGGCCCCGCCGCAGCCCCGTGGCTTCCGCTGCAAGGGACGGAGTCAGGCCCGGGCGGGCCGCGCCCCAAGCCAACACCCCTGGGGAGGCACCGGGGGCCGTGGCACCTTGCAGGGCCTGGCTGGCCTCCTGCGCACGCTGGGCCTCTCTCTCCAGCCGCTCCTGCTGCTCCTCCGCCCGCTGCTGGGCCTCCCAGAGCCGGGTCTCCAGGGCGTCCCTCTCGGCCCTGTGAGGGTCGGGAGAGGCAGCTCTGTGGCCACTGCCATTGCCACTGCGCCGGGGAGCTGGGCGCCAAGCGAGGCGGGCACGGGAGCCGGGCAAGGGCGGGCACTCAGCTGGTGTAAGACAGGCGCCCGGGATGGAGCCCCACACCCACCCCCTCTGGGCAGGGCGCGGGAACCCCACACTGCCCGCGACAGAGGCAGACGCAGCCGGGAAGCCTCCTCGAGCCACCGCCACGAGGGGCAGGTCCCACGGGGCTGGGGGAGGCACCGTCCAGCCGTCGTGGGGGGAGGCGGGAGTGGGCAGCGGCCACAGGTGTGGGCACAGTGGCCCGAACACTGTGAGGGGATGGGGGGGGGCACATGTCTTGGCCCAGGGTTGGGTTGAGGCACTCCCAGAGGAGTCTGGGAACAGATGCTGAGACCCCAGGACGAGCTTCTCCAAAGCACTCAGAAGGTTCTAGAAGGGCACGGGGCAGAGAGATGCCACTATGGACACCCCGGGGTGCCAGGCACAGGGTGGGACCGTCTCGGGCCTCCTGCACACCCTGTGCACCCAACAGCTGCCCCTGGCTCCAGGGGACCATGTGGCTAGGTAGCCAGTTAGGAAGGGCCCGAGTGGAGGCCACGCAGGGTGGCTGAGCTGGAGGCATTTTCTGAGGAGAGCGGCAGAGGGGCAGCAGCCATGGGCACCCCTGCCCACTGGAGGGGGAGAGTCAGAGTTGGGCTGCACCCAGGAGGGAGGGCAAGGCCCAGGGCTCAGGGGGGGCACCTGGGTGCAGCTGGACCTGAAGCCGGGAGCCCGGCCCCTCTCTTCTGCGGGCACATCACCTGGCTGGCCCGGCCTGCCCGATGCCCGGGGCCACTGGCTCCCACTGGCCTGGCCCCAGGCTCTGCTGTGCCCCCACCAGCCTGCTCGGACGACCTCCCTGCCGAGGCCCAGCGGGGCCAGTACCTGAGCCCAGCGGCCTCCTCCGCCGCGAGCCGGACCTGCCGCTCCAGGGCCTCCCGCCCGGCCAGCAGCTGGGCCTGCTCCGTGGCCAGAGTGTCCTTCTCCTGCAGTGCCCTCTGCAGCGCGTCCATCTGGGCCCCCTGGTCCTGAAGGCTTCGAGCCAGCTGCCCCTCCAGCGCCTGCTTCTCACGTGTGACCTGGGGGCGGGAGGCATGCAGGGGGGTCACCCCACGTGTGACTCCCAGCAAGGGCTGCCCACTCGGATAGTTGGCCGGGGGCTGGTGCCTGTCGGACTCCGCCTGGCATGGAAAATAGCACCGGGGCTGCTTCTGCTACAGGGTCCCCACGAGCAGAGATGAGCCCGCGCGCAGCCGTGGCCCCGACACTCCGATGAGTTTAACTGAGGACCGCAAGGCTCTGGGTGTGACACAGACGCCCAGCCGAGAGACCCAGGGCCCTGCACACCTCCCGAGTCTGCCGAGAAACCAGTATCATCCCCATGGAGGTTGGCACGGCAGGGAGGTGCAGACAGACAGGCAGCCCCGGCCATGTGCGGACATGCCCGCAGGAGAAGGATGGGGTGCTTGCTCCGTGCCCTCAGGCTTTCTGGAGCCTCAGCGAGGACAGTACAGGTCTGCGAGGGACAAGCAACAGACCAACCAGCCGGCAGGAGCATCCCTGTGCCCGGGCACAGCTGGATGAGCCGTCGGCATCCCAAGAGTCATGGGGGATAGTTCAGTGATGGTGCTAGGACTCCCACGTTGGGAGTGAAAGGGAGCAGACTTCTGGCCACCAACTACTCTGGGGCACGGAGCATCAGTCACCTGAAGCAACAGGAGTGTCTGTTCCCCGGAGTATCAGTCCCCTGCAGTGTGAATCACCTGAAGTAACAGGAGTATCTGTCCCCTGGAGTACCAGTCCCCTGGAGTATCTTTTCCCTGGAGTATCTGTCCCCTGGAGCATCAGTCCCCTGCAGTGTGAGTCACCCCGAGCATCAGTCACCTGAAGTAATGAGAGTATCTGCCCCCTGGAGTATCAGTCCCCTGCAGTGTGAGTCACCTGAAGTATCAATCATCTGAGGTAACAGGAGTATCTGTCCCCTGGAGTATCTTTTCCCTGGAGTATCTGTCCCCTGGAGCATCGGTCTCCTGCAGTGTGAGCCCCCTGGAGTATCAGTCCCTTAGAGCATCAGTCCCCTGCAGTGTGAGTCACCCAGAGCATCAGTCACCTGAAGTAACGGGAGTATCTGTCCCTAGAGTATCAGTCCCCAGCAGTATCTGTTCCCTGGAGTAACAAGAGTATCTGTCCTCTGGAGAATCTGTCCCTGGAGCATCAGTACGCTGTAATGTCAGTCACCGAGAGTATCAGTCCCCGGGAGTATGAGTCACCTGCAGCCACTGGAGTATCAGTCACCGGAACATTGGTCAGGGGAGTATCTGTCCCTGGAGCCACAGTCAGCACCAGCAGTCACTGGAGGGCCGAGGGAAACCCAGTTTCTGCTCTCAGGGTTTTCTCAGGCTTCTGGGGCTACCCTGGGAGCTGTGGGCATCCTAGGGGGGCTTCCAAGCCCCGGATAAACCACAAGGAAGATAGGACACTCGTCCTCGGCCAGCTACGACCTTCGCAGGCAAGACCTCGGTGTCACCGCTGGTACAGGAGCCGGGGAGGGGCTCGCCTTTCCAAAGGCCCACCCGGGTTCCATCCCCATCACCACGTACGGCCCCCGAGTCCGCTGGGAGGGATTCCTGAGTGCAGAGCCAGGAGGGACCCCCGAGCACAGGGCGTGGCCCCCAAACACTCACAGTCCAGGCGTCCCGTGCTGGCGAGAGGGACTCAGCGGGGCTGGAGTGGCCCACTCACGGCCCAGCACTGACCACACCGTCCGCGTGCCTGAGAGGCCATCCTCAGCGCTCTCTCTAGACACTGACCCCAAAGCGCAGGCAAACCCCGGCATAGGCAGGGGACCTGCTGGTGCCCCGACAGGGCACCATGGTCGGGGTTCGACACAGCACAGCTCCAGCAACAGGGGCAGACACATGCGATGCCAGAGAAGCCGGGGAGAGGGCAGGAAGCCAGGCGCCGGCCGGGCCTCTTCCCTCCACCGAGCACAGGCCACGCAGAGCCCGTCCCCGCCGTGCCGGGAAGCCGGCACCCAGGGCTGCCCGCACACAGGCTGCTCTGGGGTGTGCCTGGTCCACGAGGGGCCTGACCAAGGGGAATTCGGAGCCTGACCCTGGGGGGACCCTGACCCTGGGAGGACCCAGACCCGACAGTGGGGCTATGCAGGGTCTGGCCTCTCGGTGGCCTCAGCCCGTCACACAGGCCGGGCCTTGCCCTGGCTCTGGCACTGGAAGCTCCGGAGCAGAACCCGCCCTTCCTGGTACTGGCGGGGCGGCACCTGGAGAGGAGAAGGGCATGGGGGTGGCGGGCAGTTCAGATGGCCAGTGAGGGCTGGCTGGCGAGCCCCTGGGAGGGGCGTTCTGGTGGCACAGACCTGGCCCTGGGTACTGGGACAGGCCTGATGGATTGTCCTTCCTCCCCAAGGTCCCTGTCCCCCGCCTCCCCAGCAGACAGTCAGGAAGTGCTGCTGTGGACCCAGGAGGCCACCAAGGCAGGAGCAGGGCAGGTCTACCCCACCTGCACACACTGGCAGGGCAAGTGGCCCATCCACGTTATGGGACACATGGCCTGTTCTCGCCATGGTGGCCCACGTGGCCCGTTCTCGCCGTGGTGGCCCATGTGGCCCGTTCTCGCCGTGGTGGCCCATATGACCCATTCCCAGCGTGGTGGCCCACGTGGCCCATTCTCAGCGTGGTAGCCCGCATGACCTGTTCTCGCCGTGGTGGCCCGCGTGGGTGCCCCCAGCATGTGGCTGCACATAGAAGAGACGGGCGTCCTGTGCCCTCACCTGGCCCACCTGCCCCTGTAGCTTGGCCTTCTCGCGCCGGAGCTGGGCTGCCTGGGCCTCCAGCTGCCGCCGCTGCTCCTCCAAGTCCCCGCACGCCTGCTGCAGACCCCGCCGCTCGGAGCCCGCCAGCTCCAGTTGCTGCTCTGCCCGCGACAGCTGCTCCCGGGCCTCTGCCCGCTCCCGCTCCAGCACCGCCTGCTGCTCCTGCAGCCCGTCCCGCTCCTGCTCCAGCTGCCATGGGACGGGACGGGGTGCGGGCTGACCTCCCTGGCTGCCCACCCAGAGTGGGGCTCCCTCTCTGCCCCTCCCCCCTCCCCTGTCCTCTGGGGGCCAGGACCAGGCCGGGCCTCACCTGCTGGACCAGGCGGTTCAGGGCGCCCTTATCCTGGGCCAGCTCCTCCATCAGCGCGGCCACCTTGGCGAGGGTGTCCCTCTGGCCCACCCCCTCCGACTTCAGCCGGGACACCAGGAGCTCCAGGTCAGCCTTGCTGGACTCAGCCTAGGGTCAGAGGTGAAGCAGGGGTGGAGGTCACCCAGCCAGAGTCGCCAGGTGGGACAAGGGTTTCCTGGGCATGGGTGAGGTGGGAGGGAAGGGGACCGGAGCCCATGGTGGGAGCCCCTGGGCGTGAAATGCGCGGCTGGGAGGGCCGGCAGGGTGCTGAGAGGGACAGAGACAGGGCCAGGCGTGCTCGGGGGTCATCAAAGAACATGCCAGTGGCCAGGGGAGGAGCTCGGGGGCGGCCCAGGGCGCGGCAGGGGGAGGGGCAGCATACCCGGGCCAGGGAGCCCTGCAGGCCAGCACGCTCACTCTCCGCAAGGTCCCTCTGCAGCCGCGTGGACACCAGTTCCTCCTCGAGACCCGAGACCGCCTCTTCCAGCTGCTCCAGGCGCCCTTGGCTGAGTCCAGAGGGCAGAAGGATGAGGGGCCCAGGAACCCCCATGGACAGCTGCATCTCCCCCAAGGGGCAACACACGATCCCAAAGTGTGGTGCCACTCTGGGTGGCCTCAGGTCAGGTCGCGATACGGCCAGGGACCGGGTGGTGGCCTCACTGGAGACCCTAGTCCACATGCTGGGGCTCCTCTGCTGGGCCTAGGATGGGGGCAATGGGTGGGTTGCTGGGGTGGAGATGGTGGGACCTGGGGGAACCTGGAGGGCCCGGCTCCTGGATGCCCCACTAAGTCCCCCAGCCCAGAGGGCACAAGGAAAGCCCATCCAGGGAATGCTAAGGGCAGTGAGCCCAGCCCCAGCACCCTGAGGCTCAGGAGGTGAAGTTCTCGCTTCCTATGTGCTTCCTCCGGCCCCGCCCCCGCCCCGCCCACCACACTGCAGCTGCCTGCGGCCCCGCCCCTCGCCCTGCCCACCTGCCCTACAGCTGCCTCTGGCCCCGCCCCTTTCCCCGCCCACCTGCTCTGCAGCTGGCGCTGGTCCTGCGCTCTCTGCTCCGCCCACCTGCCCTCCCACTGCTTGTGGCCCCGTCTCATCGCCCCGCCCACCTGCTCTGCAGCTACCGCTGGCCCCGCCCCGCCCCGCCCCCTGTCCTCAGCTGCCTCCGCCCCAGCCCTCGCCCCACCCACCTGCCCTCTGGTCCTGCCCCCCTCACCCCGCCCACCTGCCCTCTGGCCCCTGCCCTTCACCCCGCCCACCTGCCATCCGGCCCCACCCTGTCCCACTCAACTGCCCCGCCCCTCGCCCCGCCCACCCGGCCCCGCCCACCACTCCGGCCCCGCCCCATAACTCCGCCCACCTGCTCTACAGCTAGCTCTGGCCCCGCCTCCACCCCGCCCCCTCCCCTCAGCTGCCTCTGGCCCCGCCCCTCGTCCCACCCATCCACACTGCAGTTACCTCTGGCCCTGCCCCACCCCCTTCCATCCGGACCCGCCCTCTGGCCCCGCTTCACCTCACCCACCTGCCATTGGCCCCGCCCCTTGCCCCGCCCACCTGCCATCTGGCCCCGCCCACCCACACTGCAATCACGTCTGGTCACATCCCGCCCCCTCACCCCGCCCACCTGCCCTTCAGGCCCCGCCCTAGCCCCGCCCACCTACGCTGCAGTCACGTCTGACCACGGCCCCGCCCTCGCCCCGCCCACCCGCCCCTCCGGCCCCGCCCCTGGCCCCGCCCACCTGCTCTGCAGCTGCCGCCGGTCCTGCGCCCGCTGCTCCGCCAGCGCCTCGTGCTGCTCAGCCCCGAGCCGGACCTGCCGCTGCAGCTCCTCGTTCATGGCCTCCAGCCGGCGCTGCTCCAGCTCCCGCTCCGCCGCCTTCCTCCTCAGCCTCTCCGCCTCGGCCTCCAGGGCCGCCTTCTCCCTGGCGGTGCGGACCGAGGGCTCGGCTGGGGTGGGCCTGCGCTGGCCTGAGCCAGGGGGCCCTGGCCCTGACCCAAGTCCCACACGACTGCAGCCCCAGAGGCCTCGCTGGACCCCTGGCTACTCGCCTGCCCTGGTGCCCAGCAGGCCGAGCCCGTGTCCCGGCCAGCTCCCAACCTGAACGGGCGCTCCGTGACATTGTCGCAGGGCCTGTGGCCTGGAGGGGGGGGAGCCTGGCTTTGTGGCCACTGTGCAAGGGCCAGTGGGGTGTGCTGCGACCTGGGCAGGGCTGTGAAGAGGGCAGAGTGCAGCGGGCACTCTGCCAGGCCTGGGAGCTGAGCCTGGCCAGGGTGAGGATCAGGGGCCCGTGCCGGGCTATGAGGACTGGTCTGAGCTGGGCTGGTCTGAGCTGGTCTGGGCTGGTCTGAGCTCAGTTCTGGGCTGGTCTGGGCTGGTCTGAGCTGGTCTGGGCTGTTCTGGGCTGGGCAGGTCTGAGCTGATCTGGGCTGGTCTGGGCTAGTCTGAGCTCAGGTCTGAGCTGATCTGGGCTGGTCTGGGCTGGTCTGAGCTCAGGTCTGGGCTGGGCTGGTCTGGGCTGATCTGGGCTGCTCTGGGCTGGTCTGTGCTGAGGTCCGGCCCCCTCTGCACCCACCTCCCCAGCAGGTCGCTGGACGCTCTGCAGCTCTGGGCCTGCTGCCTCTGGACCGCCAGGGCGTCCCGGAGGGCCTCGCGCTCCTGCGCCCCCTCCTGCAGGCGCCTCCGTGCCGCCCGCCCCTCACGCTGGCTCTCAGACAGCTGCTCCCGCAGACGGGCCGTCTCCACCTGGGAGGCCTCCAGCTGCAGGCGCAAGTCCTGGGGGCAGGCAGGCCTGCATGAGCCCCTGACGGTGGCCGGCAGGGACCCCCGTCCCCCCAAAGGTGTGACCGACACGGGGCCCCCAGGGCCCCACCCGGCCACCCTGGCTTCCCCACCTGCTCCTGCTGCCGCCGTCTGGACAAGGCCCACCGCACGGCCTGCAGCGCGAGGCCTGGGGCCCCTGGGGAGTGGGCCCGGGCAGGGGACATGGCCTGTTGGGGGGACGCCATGCCCAGTGGGGTCCCCAGGCCGGCCTGCCCCTCCTCGCCTCCGGGGCCGCCCTTCGCATCCTCCTGGGCCACCTGCGGTGCAGAGGGCAGGATGGGGGCTGTGCTCCCGCCCTCCCACGTGACCGTCCCCAGGACGCGGCCCGCACCTGTGCTACGCTGCTCAGCTCCTGCCGGAGGGCTGCCACCTCCTCCGTGCAGTCCTCCTGTCCGCCTCCACGCGTCCCCGACTCCTGGGCCAGAGCAGAGCCTCAGCGGGGTGCGCCCCCCCACCCCAGGGTGCCCGGCCTGGCCGGCCCCACACACCCGCTGCTGGGCCTCGGCACGGAGGGCGCGGATGGTTCCCTCTGTCCTTGCGGCCTCGTCCCGGAGCTTCTCCAGCAGCTGGGCCTGCTCGGAGAGTCTGACACGCGGGCACCGTGAGGGGTGGCCCCCCCGGGGAGACACCCCGCCCCGCCCTGGCGGCCCGTCTGCCCACCTGGCCTGCAGCGCCAGCTTCTCGGCGTCCCAGCGCCCCTGCACCGCCTGGAGCCGCAGCTGCCCCTCGGGGGCCAAGGGCGGGCCACGCGCCTCCAGCCGCAGGGAGGAGGCCAGGTGCAGGCAGGCCGTGTGCAGGCGCCCGGCCGTGCGCGCCGCATCCACCCGCATGTCGGCCAGGCCCCTGCGGGCAGCTGTGCGTGACCTCCTGTGCTGCCGCGGCCCCCAAGGCCCCGGCGCAGCCAGCCAGGGGCCCGGAGAAGCGAGCCCTGGGTTCAACCACGTAGCAAGGGCTCCCAGGCTTGATGCCCTAAAAGGGAATCGCTGGAGACCCCCGCCCGCGCCCTGCCAGGGGGAGCAGTGTCCAACCCTGCCCTGGCTGGCGGCAGGGCCGGTGTCCCGCGCTCTGGGCAGTGCTGACCTGCGCCCCCAGGCTCCCTGTCCCCTGGGACCTGCGTGCGTGGCCACCTCACCTGTCCGTGGCCTCTCGCAGCTCCGCCAGGTGTGTCCTGAGCGCGGCCACCTGCCGCCGCAGCCGCAGGAAGGCCTGGGGCTCCCCGGGGCGTGCGTGCCGGGCCTGGCCGGGAGACGGAGCCCGTCACCCGCTGGGGATGGGCCCGGGTTCCCGAGAGGCTAGACACAGGCTCAGTGACAGTTGCCACCACGCAGAGCTGCCCAGACCAGCACCATGGCCGCAACTGGGGTGGGGTCACCTTGACTAGGGGGGGGGGAGGCTGGGCACTTGCCCTAGACACCGGTCACAGAGTGACCCAGGGGGCCACTGCCAAGGGCGAGCGTTTGCCAGGTTCCAGGTCGGGGGTGGACGCTGAGAAGTGAGTGTGGGGGCACACAGTGGTGGGAGGGGCGTGGCTGCATCCCTGAGGTCCAGGAGACGGACAAACAGGGTGCTGACTGTGTCCCCGGGAGCCCAGGGCAGGGCAGGCAGGGCTGGTGGGGTGCAGCAGGGGTCCTCCTGGAAGGTGGCCTGCCCAGGAGCAGGGCTGGCCCTTGAGTGCAGACCACGGCCCATGCACAGCTGTTGGGGAGTTTGGTCACTGTCGCCCTGAGATGCTCCTGCCCTCGTGATGGGGCCGGAGGGTGGGGAAGGATGGGCGGCACCTGGGGATGGGCCCTTGGGGGGGGGCCTGGGGCCTGGTGGGATCGTGGGGCGGGGCTGCAGGGTGGAGCCGGCGGGTAGGGTCTTGGGGCGGGGCCGGAGCAGTGGGGCGGGGTCGTGGGTAGGGCCGGGGTCCTGGGACTTGGCTGTGGGGGCTGGGCCTGTGGGAGGGGGAGGCAGGAGCAATGGGGCGTGGCCAAGGCGGGCCCGGACCGTGGGGGCGGGGCTGGTGGGGGGGCCAGGATCGTGGGCAGGACCTGGATCTTGGGGGCAGGCCAGCCCAGGACCGCGGGAGCAGGGCCTGACTCTTGGGGGCGGGGCCTGCTCGGTGGGGCGGGGCCTGCACGGTGGGGCGGGGCCTGCATGATGGGGCGGAGCCTGGATCTTGGGGCGGGGCCTGGATCAGGGGGCGGGGCCTGGATCAGGGGGCGGGGCCTTTTGCCCGGCTTGGCCTCCCCCTCCCCCCTCCCCCCGTCTCCGGGTGCCCCGGCAGCCCCTCTCCCGGCCCCGGCGTCCCCCTCCGCACCTCTCGCGGCCGCGGGGGCTCGGTCCCGCGCTGGGTCTCCCTCCGCTCCAGCTCGGCCCGCAGGTGCCGGACGCTGCCCGCCGCCCCCGCCAGCTCGCGCGCCAGCGCCTCGTTGGCCGCCCGCATGTGCTCCAGCTGCCCCCGGAGCAGCGCGTTCACCTGCGACAGCCCCGAGCCCCTGGACAGGCGGAGGCTAAGCTGGGCCCACCGCGGCCACAGCGCCCCGTTCCCACCGCCTCCCGGCCGGACCCAGGCTTCTCTCTCCAAACTGCCCACGCGCGTCCCTCCTGGGCTGACGCTCCACCAGGCCCAGCTGCGCGCTGGCCTGCACCCAGGGACGGGGCTGAGCCGTGTGGGGCTGCAGGGCGGGCACCTGGGACCCTCATTTCCCAAAGGGTGGCAGCCAGCAGGATGCAGGTGAAGGTGCTGCAGGCGCTGGGAGTGACCCGCAGGGACGCTGTGAGTGACCGTCAGCGATGCTGGACCCCCGACTCAGCAGGACGGGGCCCCTGGGAGGAGGCTGCCTACTGCCCACTCCTCTCTGCACTGCTCCAAGTCCTCACCTCTGCTCCGAGGCCTCCAGCCGGCCCAGGGCCTCCTCCAGGTCAGCGCTGTGCCGTAGCTCCGATGTCCGCAGCCGGGCCTGTGCCGTGTCCAGGCGGGCCTGTAGCTTTGGCGAGGAGGCCCGCACGCAGGCTGGTGGGCGGGTGCACGGGCCCTGTCCCGTGCCCCAGGCCCAAAACCTGTGCGACACCCCCGACAGGGACCCCCTGCTGGGCCCAGCCTCACCGACTCACCCCCTCGCTGAGTGCGTGGCATCTGGTGGCCAGCTGGTCCCGCTCGGCACCCGCCTGGGCCAGGAGCTCCTCGAGCCGGGCCAGCTCAGCCCTCAGCAGCTGGTTCTCCTCCTGCAGGTGCATGGTGGTCGGGGCCCCTGCATAGAACAGTCAGGGGCTCCTGGTCACTGGCCCCTCAGTGGCCCAGCCCTGCATGGTGGCCAGGCCCCGCCACCCACAGAGCGGTCAGGGGCTCTGCAGGGGACGGCCCCAGCTCTACCCTGGGACCCCGTGGCGGCCCCCCACCTCCCAGGGCCTGAGCCCCAGCCGACCTCGGAGTGCAGAGCCCGAGGGCTGGACACGGGACCCCTTGAGCAGTGACAGCTGCTGTCTCAGGGGCACTGGGTTCTGCTTCTCTCCAGCACCGCGTGTCCGGTGGGGACTGGACAGTCCCCCACTCTGAAAGAATGTCTCTGGGCAGTGGCCAGCAGGAGGGGCAGGCCTCACCTTCAGGCGGGCCCTCGCCCAGGCTGCCGGCCACGATGGCGCGGATGCGGGCGGGCACGGGGGTGGGGGGCGTCCTCCAGCTGTCCCCGCGCATAGTCAGTGTCCGATCCTCTTGGCGCGCCCCGGGGCCCAGCACCGTGTCCTGCAGCCTCTGAAACGACAACCAAGGGGGTCAGCTCCTGCTGTGGACCCCCGTGGGGAGACCCTCCCATGCGCCGGCTGCCAGGCTGCTCTGGGGGGTGCTTGAGCCCAGGGCCAGGCGTGGGCGGAGGCTTCCGCAGGGCTCAGTGCCGCCCTGACCTGCTCTGGAGGCCCGAGCACCGAGGAACTGGGCAGGAGGGCTGGGGGCACGTCCAAAGGCCCCAGCCAGTCTCACCCACCTCTGGGGCCCCAGACCCTCCTGCTCCGCCCCCAATCTCACCCATGACCCCCACTCCCCAGTGCCCTCGACCCTTTGCTGGGCTGAACTTCATCTGCCCCTGCCCTGGAGGAGGTGGACTTGGGGGGCTCCCTGTCCCCCTAGTTCACCACAGCCTGCACCCACCCAGCAGCCCCCAACCTTGTTTAGGAGGCGTGAGCAGGTCCTGCAGGACAGGCCTCCCTGTCACCCCGCCAGCTCGCCCCAGGGCCGCATTGCTCTTCCTGGCTGAGGGCAGGCTGAGGCAGAACGTGTGTGTGTGTGTGTGTGCGCGTGCATGTGCACCATAGTGCAAGCGTGTGCAAGTGTGTACATTTTCACACGTGTGCATATACATTTACATATGCATGCATGTCTGTATAAGCGTGTGTACATGTGTACATATGTGTGTGTGAATGCCAATATGCAACTCGTGTGTGTGTGTGTGTGTGTGGTGTGTGCTTCTCTGCCCGCTGAGGAGGGGAGTTTGTGCAGTGCCAGAAAGTGACCCCAGGAGAAGCCTGGCTGGAGGGGAGGGCCGGGGACCACCGCTGCACCCGAGGCCAGAGCGGACACGTGCCCCCAGCCCCTCACTCCCAGAATCACCCCCTAGTCCTGCACCCCTAGAACCACACCCTCAGTCCCCTCACCCCCAGTATGCACCCCCAAGCCCTGCCCTGACCCCAGCTGTGTGGGTCCCCTGCGTGGGCTGTCCCCTGCCCAGACCCCACCTGTGTGGGTCCCTGGGCTGTCCTAGGTCCAGCAATAGTGCCAATGCTGCCCCCATGTGGCTGTAAGTGGTGTTGCAGGCATCCTACTGCAAGGTGGTGCACTGGGGGCTCCCTGGGGCGGAACAGCACCCCTGCAGCTCTGCCAGCACGTGTCTCTGCCTACTCCCCCACGCTGGGGAGGACTCAGGCCGTTCAAGGTCAGCCCCGCCCCTGGTGGACCCTGAGTGTCCTGGCCCCGCCTCCCTCTGGGGCACCCGAGGCCTGGGGGTCCCTCTGTGGGCTGACAGCTGGTCCTCAACTAACAATGACACGAACCTGAGCCCCACTTCAGGCCCTGACGTCTTTCACCAAAGACCCGGAGCTAGCCAGCGTCAGGGAGGGTCGTGGGCCCCGGCCCTCTCTCCCCGTGGGAGAGAAGCAGCAGAGGTCCTGGCCGGGGCTGGGATGCGGGACAGGCAGCACCCGGGCCAGGCGCCGGGCAGAGGCCCAGATCCCAGCCCTCCGTGTCTGGTGCCTTCCACTCAGCCGGGCCAGTGTCCACCCCACTTGGACGGGCCCTAAGGCAGGACCCCAGGCCCCAGCGGGCTTGGTCACGCTGCCGTCCACTCCCGTGCCCCCACGCAGGGGCCCTGCAGCCCCCGAAGGCAGAAATTCCCCCCAACAGCTTTTTCCTGCCCAGCCGGAACTCTGCAGCCCCAAGCCGGTGGGGGGACACGGGACAGCTGGCACCGAGCGGGCCTTGCCTTCTGCCGGGAAAGGGCTGTGGGCAGACACGGCAAGGCCAGGCCTGGGAGCAGACTGGGAGGCCCTGAGCCTCCTCTGGGGGGCCCTCGGGAGCCCAGTCCTGCAGGACTTGGGCTTGGGGTTGTTCGTGCCTGGCTGAGAGGCACATGGAGGCGAAGTGGCCAAGGTGGGAACAGACACACCCGCTGGCTCAAGGGGCAGGACATGAGCCTGGCGAAGGTGGGCAGTTGCTACACGGCACCATGCTCTCGCCAGCATGGCCACAGCATGAGAACACAGCACACACACGTTCACATGTGTGTTTGCATGTGTTCACAGAAACACACAAGTGCCAGCACAGAGTACCCACATGATCATACAGTGTACACGCGTGCCAGCACCAACTCTCTTTGCGCACACGAACATCAGCCCACATGTGTCTATGCACGCAGCATCTCTCCATGAAGCATGTTAACACAAACTCACACGCAACACGCATATAACGTGAGCGTGCCTACACACATTGTGCATGCGTCTGCGGTATGTTAGCACAAACGCGCCTGTACATGATGCATGTGCATGTTTACATGTGTTCATATGCCACAGTCTTCTGCCCCCGCGCCTGGCTGTTCCTCGCCAGGGCCCCTTGGAGGGGAGCGGGTTGAGCTTTCCTCCCCGCCCCGACCAGGGCTCCGGCAGCCGAAGACCTCCAGAACCAGCCACCACCATGCTGAGACCACTCTCCACACACATGAAGGTACTGGCAGAGGGACAAAGCCACGCGGGTTCCGGGGCCGAGATCTCCAAGCCTACTCGAATTGGAGTCGAGCATCCTCCACCCAGATCCTCCAAATTCCAGTAGGCATTCACGGCCGCGCGACATCTTATCAGAACTTTTCTTTATGACATTTTATTATCTCATTCCTACTTTGGACAAACTTGCAGGCTATCGAATGTAGCCTGCCCACAGGGCAGAGTCTGGCAAACTCCCCGTGGCGCACCAAATATGCCAAATACCAGTAACAATGATGGGTCTCATTCTCCTAAAGAGCCGTGAATATAATCTCAGGGCTAGGATGAAAGAGACGTTACTGGGGCCTGCTCGAGGCAATCGACGAATAACAGGATGATGAAATGAAAAATGAAAAATATGCCACACATGCTCACACGTGTACCGGGTACACACTGCACATGTGCTGACCCAAATACATACAGTACACACACGTGTGCATGGGCTAATCCATGTGCCTGCACATGGTGTTCACACAAGTCCAGTCCCAGATGACTGGGCAGTGAGAGATGCAGCCCCTGACGACCCCGTGGCCTCCCACGGGGAAGAGCTTGCTGGGCTGTGACCGCAGCTGCCCTCGCGGACTCTGGTGCATTCGCCACGACAAGCGAGGACGCGCCTGCGGGGGGGACGCAGGGTCGCGAGCCCGAGGAGCAAGATCAGACCTTTCCAGGGATGAGCCACGTTCAGCTTTAACCCACCCAACACCCAGCAAACCTTCCCACCTTCCCTCTGCCAGTCCCTAACGCTAGCTCCCACATCCTGAACAGTCATTCACACTCTCCCTCACACACACACACACACACACACACACACACACTCACACACACTCACACACTCACACAAACCCTCACAGGCACTCACACACTCACACACTTACACACATATAAACACACACTCATACACACAATCACACACACACTCACACAAACACACACACACAGACACATACACACTCCAGGGTTTCAGAAAGAGCCTGGAGAGCCGGGTGAACAGGGGCCCCAGGCAGCCTTCAGGCTGGTCATCCTGAGCCCCTCCTCCTGGCCAGCTCCTGGGAGCCCGGCACGGAGGCGCCGAAGTGTAATTGTGCAGATGACAACCTGCAGACGGGCGCCCGGCAGGCCAGTCCCCACAGTCCCTGGGAGGGAGGGCCAGGCGGGTAGGCCTGTGGCCACAGCAGCTGCCCAGGGCCCTTGGGGCTGGAGCTGGGTCTGGGCTGCCCCGTGCCCCTGCCTGAGTGAGCCCAGGTGCCCCCTGACGGGAGGCGCCGGGGGGGGGGGGCACTCGTGTCCTCACCCGGCTGCTTGTTCCTGGTTGTACCTTCCTGGCTCCTCTCAGTGCCATCCCGGCCAGCAGGCACCAAGTCTGACAGCAGGGCCCCCATTGCCCGCAGTGCCCAGCAGAGATGCCCATGGGGACTTGCTGGGGCCGTGCTGGGGCCGTGCAGGGGGTCACCTGCTGGGGGACGTCTTCCAGGAGGGCTCTCGGTTTCCAAGCAGGAGGTCCGGGAGCTGCTTGGGGACCCCCTCATCATGGGCTGTGAGCACGGCAGCCTGCGGGGCTGGACCAGCCTGGGCGCCCAGCTCCGTCCCACAGCCTGTGTGTGCACGTGTGTGTGCACTTCCGTGTGTGTGTGCATGTGCGTGTGCGTGCGTGTGCGTAGACCACGTGAGCACTGCCAGGAGGCTCAGAGGCCCTGCATTGAGGGGGGGTCTCTGCATGGGCGCATCCCCCAGGCTCCGGGGCGCCCACTGACCTGGATCACGGCGTCCAGCCCCAGCGGGGACCCCTCGGGTGCGTCCTTGTCTCCAGGCTCACTGGACGCGGAGCTCATGGTGGCGCAAGCTGGCACTTGACGGCCAGGGCGTGCCAGGCACTGGGGCCCACCTGCTGCCCGTGGGCTCCTGTCCTGGTGCCGCTGCCCCTCTGGGGCGGTGGCCGCAAGGTGACCTGAACCCACAGGTGTTACCGTGGCAACGGCCGCGGCTGGGTTTCCCTGGCAATGGGAGCGCGGGTGTTGCCGTGGGGACGCAGGACGCAGCTGCCAGCTGCCGGAAGCCGTTTCCAGGGAGCCCCGGGCTGGCTTGGCGCGTCCCTGACCTGGCTGCAGGGGGCGGGGCCCACCCCCTCTGCCCAGCTCCCACAGGGCCCCCCACAGTGCACAGCGCAGTCTGGGACACCCCAGTCACCCACGCCTGAGTGCACCCTCCGCACACGGGGAGGCGGGAGGGAGGGGAGACGGAGTCTGGGAGCCGGCAGTGCCCTGGGTCTCTGCTGGCCCGCTGCCTCCCCGGGGTGCCGCCTGCCCAGCTCTCTGTGCCGGCCCCTCTGGGAGCGCCGGGTGGCAGCGGTTCTGGGAGGGGTGAGCGAGCGGGACCCTGAGCCGGGGCCTGGCCAGGCTGCCCCTGACCTCATCCTGGTGGAGCTGAGGGACAAGTATGGTCCCATCTGGGCCAGGAGGACCGCTGCTGCCGCCTGGCAGACCTGGTCAGAGCATCAGGCCCCAGGCCTGGTCACACTGGGCAGGTGAGGGAGCTGGCCCCGGGGCAGCACGGGCAGAGTCTGTGTCCCCCCCCACCCCTCCCCGGACAGGTGTGGGCAGGCGCCTCTGTGAAATCAGCTCTGGGATCTGCGGCTGTCTGTGCCCCCGGGACTGCCCGCCCCCCACCGCAGACGGCAGCCCCGCCCTGCCTGATGACCACGTCTGGCCTGGAGGCCGAATGAAGGGGGTGTCCCTGGCCCAAGGTGTGCCTGCAGGCAGCCGGACCCTCAGCCAGGTCCCCTGAGGCTGAGCGGGGGTCAGGGAGCAGGGCGGGGTCTCAGCCCAGGAGGGACACGGGAGGGCGAGGCTGCGGGGTCAGCCGGTGGCCGCCCGGGAGGCAGAAGCAGGGGCGCTGCTGGGCCCTTGGCTGGGGTTTGCGCAGGGATGGGTGGTGGAGGGCGGGCTGTGGCCTCCCGGGGTGGTGGGATCAAAGGTCTCTGCCACACGGCAGCCCCTCCCCGCAGCCCAGGCCGGGTCCTCAAGGGGGCTGGGCTCAGGGGCAGTTGGAGGCCACCGGGGAGGGGCCGCAGCAGCCTGGGTGGGACCCGCCTCCCGCCCCTGCGACATTCCTGGTCCCGGGGACTGACTCACCTCACTTCAAACGCGGGCTGGGCTGGGCTACTTAAGGCTGCCGCGCCGCCCGCCACCGATCCTCTGGCGACCCTGCTGGCCAGCACGGCGGCGGCGGCGGCCATGGCCGTGCAGGTGCCCCTGTGGCAGCACTACCTGCAGGCCATCCGCTCGCGGGGCGGCCCGCGGGCCCAGGACTTCCAGGGCGCGGAGAACACGCTGCTGACGGTGCTGGAGCAGGTGCACAGGCTCGACCCCCGCTTCCTGGTGGACTACGGCGACCTGCAGGCCTTCCAGTTCGCCCTGCGCTCCTCGGGAGACCCCCTGCCCGTGGAGGTGCCCCTGCGCCTGGACGCCGAGGCCCTGCTGGAGGAGCGGGCGCCGGGCGGGGACGACCCCACGCTCTGCCGCCTGGGCGTCCCCCGCGGCGTGGCCGGCCTGGAGCCCTGGACCCGAGAAGACGTCTTCAGCGCCGGCGAGGCCGGGGCCCAGGGCTGCTGCGGCTACCTGGAGCCCGGGAAGGTCCTGCGCGTCCTGCGGGAGCTGCTGGTGGCCGCCATCGTGCACTGCCGGCACCACGGCCTCATCCCGCCAGGTAGGGGTCACATGTGACACGGCGAGAGGTGTTCACAGGCGACGGGTGTCACACATGATGGCGGGTGTGCATACGTGACGGGTGTCGCACATGATGGCTGGTCACACACATGATGCTGTCGCACATGATGGTGGAGTACACACGTGACGGGCGTCACACATGATGGCTGGTTACACACATGATGGTGTCACGCATGATGGTGGAGTACACACGTGATGGGTGTCACACATGATAGTGGATGTGCACATGTGACGGGTGTCACACATGATGGCGGGTGTGTATATGTGACAGGTGTTGCACACAATGGCTGGTTACACACATGATAGTGTCACATATGATGGCTGGTCACACACATGATGGTGTCGCACATGATGGTGGAGTACACACGTGATGGTGTCACACGATGGAGGAGTGACACATGACAGGCGTCACACATGGTGGTGGAGTGCACATGTGACGGGTGTCACGCATGACAGCGGGTGTGCACACGTGATGGTGACTGCCCACAGGTGGAGGGTGTGTGACGTGGGGGAGTAATGGCCCCTACCCACAGGTCAGAGTAGAGGCACCCAGAAGGTGAGGCTCGCACGTGTGACGCGAGGTTGCGTGACAGCCGCTGTGCACACACGTGTCACTGGGGCTCACACGGGCTCTGCGGGCATGTGCCAGGGGCTGTGGTGAGAGTGGGGTGTGCGTGTGTGGCCGGGAACTGGGCTGCAGCCTTTCTCGCTCAGACTGGGTGGGCTGAGGGGCCTTCTCCCTGCTCTGCTGTCTCTGGGCACCCCTGGGTGGGGGCGGCTGTGCTCTCGGCCAGTGCCCTCCTGGACGCTCGCCTCCAGGCCCTGGGCTCTGGCTCTGGGGAGTCCGGGCCGGCCTGTGTCTCCTTCAGGAGCCTTGCCCAGGCGGGAAGGGGCCCAGCGGGACAGGCATGAGCGATGACCCCCCCCAACACACACACACACACACACACACACACACACACACACGGCCTCACCTCTGCAGGGCTCCTGACCTGCAGGGCCGCCACGGCCTCCTGTTCCCGCCACCCGCTCACCTGCCTGCCTGGCTGGACGCAGTGGGCGGAGCCCCCGTGGCCAGGACACCCGGGGGAATTCCAGGCCCTGCTTCCGGCACCTTAAAAGGGCAGGGCGGGGAGGGGGGGGAGGGAGGGGCCCACACCCGGAACCGGGATGGGAACCGGGATGGGAACCGGTGGGACCAGGTGGGCAGGGCTGAGGGGGGCGGTTCCTGGGCAGCAACAGGGAAGTGGGTCTGGGCGGGGGCACCGGCTGGGTAGTGGCTGCCCCAGCTGGGGGAGGGGGGCAGTGCCCAGAGCCCACCAGGGCAGGAACCAGGGGCCTGCAGAGGTGGGAAGCACGGCCGCTCCCACAACACGCTGGGGACCCCATGGACTCCCCGCAGGCCGGCCCCCTCGCTGGGCAGTGGTGGGAGGGGCAGGAGCCGGGTTGCTCTATGGCCCCTCGTTCTCAGGGGTGCCTGGGGTAGGGCTGGGCCGGCGTGCCCTGCAGGGGGCTGCGGGAGCCCAGGCGGGCAGGGGCTTGGCAGGGTGTTAGTGTGTGTGTGAGTGTGTGTGTGTGTGTGTAGCTGTGGGGACCCAGGCGGGCAGGGGTCGGCAGCTGGGGGGTGCCACAGGGGCCCAGGCAGGTGCGTGCAGCATGCCCCCCCGCCCCACGGCGCTGGCCCTCCTGAGTTGTGAGGGCAGGGTCTGGGCCCCCCCGGCAGGCAGGTGGGCAGGGGGCCACTTCCCAGTGCAGGTGCCACCTCAGCCGGGCCCCGGGACCCAGAGCAGAGCCAGGCGCCAGGTAGGGCTGTCCCCCGCAACGGGCATGGGTGCCTGGACCACGAGGCCATGGCCGGCTCTGACCTGTCACCCGAGGTCACAGTCCCAAGTGAGACTGCACGGGAGGGATGGTCTCCACATGAGTCAGTGGGTGGACATGATGGAACAGATCCCGGATGGGTGGTGTCCATGGTCCTCCCGGGGCACGTCCCTGCCCTGGACACGCGGTGACGTGACCTCCCGTGACCCTGGGGCCAGCTCGGCTCGGCCCTCTGCTTCTGGGACAGCACAGGCGCAGGGGTGGGGGTGGGCATGGTGGGGCCTAGGCAGGACTCTGGGAGGTGTGGGGTGAGGGGGCCCAGCAGGGTCCGAGCCCGGGGCCAGCGTGTGTCCCTCCCGGGAAGGCTCCCTGAGCGCCACCGGGCTGCAGGAGGAGGGGCCGCGGCTGACCGTGCTGGTGTCCAGCGGCTGGAGGACCATCTGCTTCCACGTGGTGCCCACGGTCCGGAGGAGCGCCTCGGACTTGGCCCTGGCCGGGGGCCGCCCACTGCCCGGCTTCCCCGAGGGCAGCGTGAGGAGAATCTGCAGCCAGGGCGAGTCCCTGGTGCCCGCCAGCGCCCAGCACTGGAGGTGGGTCGGGGTTGCCCGTGTCAGCTGGAGAGGGTGTCCCTCAGCTCCTCTGGGGCCGGCACGGGGCTCCCCTGGGGCCCGGGATCTCTCTACAGTGGGGGAAGCGGGAAGGGGCTCCAGGAAGGGCCGAGACTGGAGGCAGGATGGGGGACAGGCTGGGTCAGCCCAGGTCAGTGGCACGGAGGGCTGGGGGCACTCAACCGCCACCCAGGGACTCAGCCAACATGGCCCCCAGCCACCACTCCCAGGCCTGCTCTGACCCGCACTCCTGGGCCAGGCCCTGCGCTGACTCCCACCCGTGGCCAGGCCCGAGCTGACCCTCACTCCTGGGCCAGGCCCTGCTCTGACCCCCACCCCTGTGCCCAGGCGTTGTTCCGACCGACTGCTCAGTTCCCTGCTCAGAGCACTGGGTTCGCTCCAGGGCCACCGACTGGACAGTCTCTCCGTCCTGGACCGCATCAACCATGAGCACTGGCGGGATGGCGGCCGGAGCCCGGGCCTGACCTTCTCTCACCTGAAGGTCAGTGGCTCCTCCTCCGAAGCCCGCGGGGGCCTGAGAGGAGCTGGGGTTCAGAGTCCCCGACAGTGGGACAGTGACGGGCTCAGCCTTGGGGGCTGCTCAGGCAGAGGAAGGGACCACGAGGGGTCTCCTGGGGATGGGCCTGAGCCTGTTGAGTCAGGGAGATGGATGGGTGG